CTATGAATATAGGTGCCATTTTACAACTAATATTAACGTAAGCGAAAGCGTAAAAAATTAGCTGAACGAGATGGATGTGAAGATAAAGGAAAATCCGTGCTGCATTCTGGAAAAAGTAAAATCGTCTCTCATGCCCCAAACTCCCTCTCTCTTCCTCCCTCTCTCTTTCTCTCTCTCTCTCTTAAAATTTCTAACTTACTATATTAAATGTAGCTCGTAAGTATTATGTTTTCCCTTTTTAATAGGTTTTTTCTTGAATTTGCTTGCTTAAATTATTCGTTGATGGTTAACAGTCTCCTTCCTTTTGAGCTTGCTTTAGTTAACTCGAACTTTGGTGGCACCTTCCACCTTTCGAGTTACTTTTATTTATAGCCAGCAGTTACTTAAATTACTTAATTAAAATTTGTATTTGTGGATTCGATGATCACATTACACTAGAACTGGAAAGGCTATCTTAATCATTGCTGACTGACTGAAGATTGCAAAGAATTTTGTAAATTTCTCGCCAGATTAAAACGCTTACACACATACAAGTACTAATACATTTGCCTATTTATATGTACATATCTAGCCAGCCATTTTACAATTTAAATACACCAGCAACAGCTGAAACGAATAAAGCGAAGGGCTGCCCAAAAAGCCGTAAAGAAAATTTTGTATAAACGGATATCCCTAATGTCTGTCTCAACGCTCACTTGAGCTGACAGTCATTTCCGTTTGGAGTTTTTCATTGCTTCCGCTAAGCACAGCAAGCGATTTTTGCGAGACCTGTTGCATCGGTCCCTACATGTGGGTATCTCTCGTCCAGGCTCATCGGCAGCAGAGCTGTTTGCTTTTACGGTTTCTATCGTAAAATATAGCAACTGAATCTGCCATCTGAATCTGTCGGGAATTTAATTTTAATGCCAAAGTGTGCGTGCGTCCGAAGGACTAAGAATGTTGCCTCAGTTGCCTCAAGAAATTTTTAGGCATTTCAATCACAGACTAACCGCATCTCGTCTCTATGTACGTATGTATGTATTTTTGATACGAGTATATGAATCATAACACCATGCAAGACAATTCCATGTAGTGGCGAAATCAGCAGATACCAGATGGTCGATGTGAATCGAAAGGTATTCAACACACAATTAAAGAATTGATTTCAATGCGTTTAAACAAAAAGACACCATTTTTGATCCTGGATATGATTTAATATTTATTTCTTAAAGCTATGTGGACATTAAAATTTAAATTCTGAAATATATATACTATATGTATATAGGCAAGATGTAAAAATAGCAATATATGGTTGTGGATACCGAGCCCCGATGACTGCCATTTCTTTTTAAAAAGGCGCACTTTATTTTATAACATCATATATCAGTAATTTATTTAAATAGTTTGTATTTGACAATTGTTCATCTTTACTTTCAATTTCTCTCTTACATACTATATATAATTGTACCTTCTCTCCTTAATAGGTTTGTTTACACTGCCACTCTAGTACGCAACTCCTTTTTCCCATCTGACTGCTAAATGATAATTGCAGGGGACTGTAATCATTATAAGTGTTATTAAAAAAATTACAAAATAATGATTATTTTTTAATGTTATTAATTTGCTCACAGTTTAATGATTAATTTTGAGTTTTACAAGTTTTATTTTATAAGTTTTATTTTTTTGCTCATCAATAATGATTATTGGTTAATTTTTAAAATTAATCATGATCATAATCATCATAATCATTAATCATCGTGAGCGAATGAATACAAATTAAAATTTACAAATCATGGTGAAAATACATAGATAATGTAATGATGTCAGTAAATTCCTCGCTTTCCAAAAGTTACTATAAGTGAAGGATTTTTTCGTTTAAAAAAAAACAAAATAATCATTATTTGCGGTCCCTGGATAATTGTATAACTGACTAGAATTATATATCTCTAGGAAAAATTAGTGCTGGAAATCTGGTGATTTGGCGCCTTACTTTCGCCACTAAGTTTTTTACCTCGTCAAGGGGATGTTTTATGTTATACATCATACACACATATATATGTATATATGTATATAAATATATATATAAGTATATATGTATGTACACCTTGCGCACACGCGCCGCCCATTAAACCAAATGCCATTTTCGTCTAACGGAAGTTGTCTGTGTTAATGGAATTACATGAATTTCAACTCTGAACCGCAAAGACTGGCAGGGACACTTCCGAAAAGGGCAGACGAACCATAAAGTTCCCAGTTTCTCCCTATCCCTCTGTATGGATGTAGGTATGTGAACGTGTGTTTGTGGGCGAAAGTTTCGGGCACAGGAAATGATAATAGCGTACTCTGCCATGTCGAGTCAAGTCGAGCCAAGTCGAGGCAAGCCGACTGCCGGTAGAAATGTGTGTCAACTCCAAATACATACAAACAAACATGCGTATGCGTGCAAGGCTGACTTCGGCAGGTTGTCATCCTGCATTGCATAGCCATAATCCACTTTAGGTTTGGCAACCAAAACATATGAAAGGAATGCTTAGCTGAATTTTCAATTTTCTCTAAATTACTTAGCGCTTCGCAATCCCCCTTTTGACCCGACGCTAAACTACTGAACATTTTTTATACCCTGTACCCGTAGGGTAAAAAGGGTATATTAGGTTTGTGCAAAGTATGTAACATACAGAAGGAAGCATCTCCGACCCCATAAAGTATATATATTCTTGATCAGCATGACGAGAGAAATCGATCTAGACATGTCCGTCCGTCTGTCCGTCTGTCCGTCCGTCTGTCCGTCCGTCTGGATGAACGCGAGGATCTCAGAAACTATAAAAGCTAGAATAACCAAAGTTGGCATCCAGATTCTCCTAGGTCCGAGTAAGGACGAGTTTATTTTATTTTTTGGAATTTTCCCCCCCTTCCCCCGCTACAGAATTTCGTCAATAGCGTCCACATTTCAAATGCTACATTAACCAAACTTTGCACACATAATTTATATATAATTGTCTACTGTTGTTCAAAATTTTATTCAATTCGGTCAATTCTAAGAAAAGTTATTAGCGAAACAAATTCTCGCCAGTACAACCCCCACAAACTGCAGCAACAAGTTCGCTCTTCTTCTTCCTCTTTTTGCTGCTGCTATGGGCGCATATAACTCAGTGACGGAAGTTTACCTGGGTACAGGGTATTACACTGTCGGGCTTGCTCGACTGTAGCGTTCTCTCTTGTTTTATTTTAATATGGTATGCAAATATTATTAATGTTTGCGCTTCGCAATTTATATATCTTCCATTGATTTTCAGGACGCACACACCACTTATGCATGTCTTGCTCGTTTCTTTTCAAATGATACTATACGAGTATAGTATTTAATTTTTAATACAGCTTAAAAAAATTGTTTGGTGAAGGATATACGTGACTTACAGTCTTTGCGACGGCACATACGGGCCGATTTTAAGTCCAGTTTTTGGCTGGCCCAATGATACAATCTGCTGGACTACCACTTTCAGCCTCGTCCGTTTCGGACTCAGAGTTCCACTCCGCACTATTAGTTTTTGGTATGGCTAGCAATGCTTCAGCTAACACAAAACGACAACTGAGTAATGCATGCGTATCCTTTGGTTGTTTTCCGATTGCTCGGCAATCCATTCGATACACCATCCACGCATTACAGCATGCCAAGTCTATGAAGTGTATAATTACATTCAATGGTTCTAGGGTTTTGAAAAAGCACCGATACACTTCCACCCATTGATTCAGTGTATTTGTGCCACTACAATAAATGTATATTGGTTTTGAGTCGACTTTGAGTCTTTCCATTATACAATGACAACTTTATCCTCAAGGCAACAAAACACCTCCAAAAAACAAATTTCCTTTTCCAGAAGAGGCAGAGTTGTGAAGTATCTGTCAAAAATATCCATTAAACCCTTCTATTTCCATGAAACTACTAACATCAAACCAAGGGCGTACGCAGCTTTTTCCAAAGGGTGGGGTTCAAAAAATTAAAATTTATATTAAATAATAAACGACGATTTTCAATAATAATCTATGCATATGATCAATAAAAAATACATAAAATTCAAATCAGTTCTATTTTGGGGCGAAAAAGTAAAGTGAATGAAGTAATAATGAATGTGTGGTCGACTTCATATTCCGAAAATTTATTAAGGGGGAGAAAGGCACAACTTCCCTCTGGGTATACCCTCGCATCACGCGAATCTTCCACTTCTAGGAATTAAATTTCAGGAAACAACACATTATTTTATTTATATTCGTTGAATAGAAGTGGAAATCGATGCATCAGGGTCTGAAAGGTACATGAACAGAATTACCACCAAGGAGTAGCAAACCAATTAAACATGAACTTTCGTATACATACTTAAACACATATCAATAGTATTTTCGGGTCCATTTGCGATAGTTTTTCACTTTTCTCTGATAATACTATAGAGAACGGCACTCCAAACTGTCCAAAAAGTCTTCATCTGTTTCTACCAGAAATTCCCCGTTCTCAACAGTTAGCAGCGAATTCGTTTTGACACATTGTCGAAACCGATATCGAAAGGCTTGAGTTCGACCTCATTTTTCTGCCGGAGAAGCGTCCTAATAAAATGGTGGATGGTGGTATTTCCGTTTTATATATTTATATATTTAAGCACAGATTAGCGCGTGGGTCGAAAAGCAACAATGGCAGCTACCTTCTTGCCGAATATGCTCTCTTCTGTGATATCAGGCTACACTATGAGCAGCTTTATTAATAATAGTAATAAAATAGAAGTATTTAAAATTTTGCGTTCGACAACTTATCCGATTTCCCTGGTTTGTATTCCACTAAATGATGACAGCAACTTCCCATTTTTTTTACCGAATCTGACAGAGTTCGCCATGATGACAGGGCGCTTAAGCCATCCATCAAGAATCAAAGTAGCCTTTGCTTTTAACGAAAAATTTACCATTGACTCAAGGCAGAAAAGTTGGTTCAGTTTACCGAGAGAGGTCGGACAACTAACATCGAAGTGTTTGCGAAGAAATTATAAAAAAAAAAAAATTATTGTCAAAAAGTAAAAAGGAAACAATTGGAAACCTACAGTTTTCGGTAAACCGTGGAACGCGCACAATACGCAAAGTACGATTGAGTGGGCTATGGAGCTGCCATCCATGGTGGAGCGCGCCGGTGACAAGCTGGTCGTGCGTAGCTTGGTGAGCGGATCGGCGGTGTATCAAACGACCCTGCCGATGGATGAGGTGGCGAAAAGCCAGAACGCAATCCACGCTAGTGCTTCGTTGCCGCAGCATCCGTTGATGAGTGCCGAAATGCTGGAACGCCAGTTGGAACACTATCGCTTGAGCACACACTCGGCTCCATCGATGCCGCCAAGAGTGGCGCAGACTTTTGCGAAACCTGCTGCACCGGAGCCGGTAGAAGCGAATGAGGAGGACCTGCCGCAGTGCAAGATACGAAGGAATTACAGCTGCAACCAATGCGCCTTTTTTACGCAGAATCCGCGCAGCCATCTCTCGCACCTGCGCGATGTGCACGGCGAGCGGATTGTGATAAACGAATGCAAGCTGTGCCTATATGCCTCGCGTCACTTCCAGAAGCTGGTGCGGCACATGAAGATGGTGCATGGATGTGTGGACGATGCGAATGCCAATGGCAGTGGCAGCGGATTAGCGCAGCTACGCGGCAAGAGGACCAACAATCGTGAGGCGCGCAAGAGGCGTCTGGAAGAGAGCGTCGATCCCGCCAACTTTGCCAAAATGATGCAGAGCGGGCCATCGTTGGACCAGGTAACACATCACCCTAGCACTCACGTACGTCTCACAAGTATTCCAACTCCTACAGCTAAAGTATGAGCTGCAACTGCAGGAACAGCAACTACAAAACAATGTCCAGGCCTACAATCGGCAGCAGGATCTGCAGCAGCTTCAAAGGATTGTGCTTAACAGCGATAATATTTTTTCCATGGCTTTTGAGTTCCAGACGCATGTGCAGAACCAGCTGCAGCTGCGTCGGTCCACAGCGACTGTGGCTAACATTAATGTGCCGGAGCAAGAGAACTCCTCGACGGATTCGGAAGCCTCGTCCCCGCCTGATGACTCCATGAACTTGAGTTCTTCGCCTTCAACATCAGCTAGGCGCGCAGATGAACCCATGGATCTATCCCATGCTCGTTCAAACTCGCCATTTCGTTGCAAGAAATGCTCTTATTCAACGCCTATTAGGGCACGCTTCAAGAAGCACGTAAAGTACCACTCCATGCCGCTGATAAAATGCGTCTCCTGTGACTTCCACACTCCATACAAGTGGAACCTGGACCGGCATACCAAAAATCATGGGGCAAACGGGATCCATCGTTGCAGCTCTTGCGATTTTAGCACAGATATTAAACAGTCCCTGACTATACACGAGCTAAACCATCACGTGCGCAAGGTTAACTTTCAAGCTGAGACCTGTCATAATGATGAAGAACCGGCCGCCAATCCCCTGATGGGTGAGACCGCCCAACCCCCAGGGGAAAGCAGTGAATCAGCCATCAACACGCCAAACAGTGCCGGCGCGACAGTGCCAGAGCTCGCACCAATTCACTGCTCCCACTGTCGGGAGACTGTGCCAAGTGCCCTCGACCTGCTGCAGCACCTCCAGCACTGTCCTCCTGCATTAAGGAGCACCAGCCAGCACATCCAGGCGACCGTTTGTGAGATGGAATTGGACTTTTCGATGCAAACAACAGAGGATGAGGTACCCTCCAGCAGCGACCTAAGCTACTACGGTGTGGAGACAGCACCCGGTTATGGCGAGGTGAGTGCATACCTGCAGGAACTCAAGTCCCGCGAGGTTAAAGCTTAGAAATTGGGAACCCATTGCTTTTTATTCTTGTTAGTATCGGCAAATTCATTACAATCGATCTCATACCTCAAGAGCCATTGAAAATAACTCAGAGCGGTACCCATTTCTGCAGGTTACAGAGCAGTTGATGCCGGAGGACTCTGTTGCTTTGAATGCACTCAAAAAGGTCTTTAAGTGTCCACACTGCACGTTCTGGGCGGCCACCGCATCGAGATTTCATGTACATATCGTTGGCCACTTAAATCGGAAGCCCTTCGAGTGCTCACTTTGTTCTTATCGTTCCAACTGGCGCTGGGATATCACCAAGCACATACGTCTTAAGGCCATGCGTGACAAATCGCACACCCACGCCGAGGTGCTGATGAACGATGAGACCGGACGGCGCAACTACGCCAAATATAATCAGTACCTAACGCTGATGAAGGTCAACACGGATATCGCCGACATGAAGCCATCGAGAAGTGGTGATGTGTCGATAAACGAACCTATTGAGGCTGACAAGACCGATCATCTAGACAAGCTGGATGCGAACTCTGCTTGCTTTGAGATGGATGAGAACGCACAGCGGGGCCTTGAGTAAGTAGAGCAGATGGCATAAATTAATCAGAGATCCTAACTTTTTTCCTAAACAGGACAAAGGCAGAACCAGATTTTTTGCAGGGCTTGGATTTACGTGTTCCACTCAAGCATACCGAGCAGCAAGAACCGATCAGTTTCGATCCCAAGGTGTCAACTCAATTGGCCAGCACAAGTATCAACAACACAGCCAAAAGCCAGGATGAAAAAAAGTACAGCATACATTCTGAAACTGAGGAGATGTCGAGCCCTAGCCCCACAATTGATGACTTTCAGGCTTTAGACTTGAGCAACCCTAGTGCTGGCGCCAACAACGAGGACGCTCAATACCAGACATTTCGTTGCGGCTTGTGCCACCAAATGTCGCATTGGAAGCACGTCATCCAACGCCACTGTCGTTTGAAACATGCTGGGGCCATATGCATGGAAGTGCTCGTAAACCACACTTACCAACCAATGAATAGTGTCCTTGCCGCAAAAGAAGATACTGAGGGAGGCCCCCTATTACCAGCGCTCGAGCCAATACCTATAGAATCGCCTCAAAAAAGCGATGAGGACAAGGCAAAGGTACAGCCGGAATCAGCCAAGTGCGAACTTTTCGATTTCAAGGGCCAAACCAAGTCCGAGCTGCGCAGGCATCGCTCCTTACATAAGCAAAATGTCCGAAAGTGTGAACAGTGCGATTTCGCTTGCTCGGGAAAAATAAAGCTGGCCAGGCATGTGCGCCATGCTCACATCAACAATCCCACAACAAACGCAGAGTTGAGTACAGAGCCCTCAACATCATCATCGATGCCGGCCATGGTCGATGGTGTCCAACTATCTCATTGCCCACATTGCCCGGCTCGCTTTCTACAAAGGACATCTTGCGATGATGACATTAACTCTGAGATGATGCGACATCTTGCCGGTCACGACCTGGTCGAGGGTTCCAGCCGCCGCTACTCGTGCCGCTACTGCGCCTATTACACCGATGACGAAGCGGAGCAGCGCCTTCACCTTTCCGTCCACAGCTCGTTCTACCAGTCAAGGAGCCAGACGCTGTTCCAGAACTACAAGATCAATGACAAGTTTCCGGCGCCCTTGCTGACCCAACTAGAGAGCGACTCTATTGGTCAAGAGCAGCCTATCTGGGTGGTGATCAACGATACACTAAATGATGTCGAAGACGTGGCTACTGAGAGCGTGGACTACGACGAGATATTCTTCTGAGGTCATGGCCTGGATCATTGGGCGCTTATACTCATGACTATATGACTCTGAGGCCTGTTTTGTAAATTTTAAACCTTGAAATAGGTTGAAGTCAAGCATAGATGAAATGTAAATCCAGAATTTCGTTCAAACAGGCACATTAAATAAACGCACATCCCAATGCATCCCATGGTTGTATTTCCTTTTGATTGCGCTAATGTCAAAATCATGAGCTACTCGTGCATATAAAATTTGGCGACAGAGCATAAGTTTTGTTAGTTTATGTTCAAGTAGATCCAATGCTCTCTGGGAATAAACGTATTAATTTCAAAGTTCAACAACTGATAAGCCTAGAATGTGCAAAAATTTGCTTCGTCTTTCTAGTCATTCTTCGAACTCGAAGGAAAATATTTATAAATACATATTTTATATATATGTATATATATTTTAGTTTGCAAAACAAGCAAAACATGTATATAATATAGTGACTGTTAAGTTTTTAATTTAAAACGTAGAATTTTGTCGGGCTTAAGATTATACATACACATATATAGTTAGTTCTACCTATTAGTATTGAGATACGTCGGCTAAGTTATTGGAATCGTTTCGCACGATTTCCCTAACATATACTGTAAAACAAATATATCTTGATCACGGTCCATGCTCACAGCAAACATTCGCAAATGAAAAATAATACTATGCAAATTAGAACGACTAGCGGCACAAAGAAGCACACTTCCTCCAGGCTAAGCGTGGTCAGAAGGTACCAAAGATAGAACCAGCACTAAGCTGTCTGGCACTGGACGCTCTCGTAATGCGGCGATTGGCCGTGTTCCTCATCATCCTCTGGATGTGAAGTACGAGGCTTAAAGTCCATTAGGTCAACCTCTTCAGCTCCAGCTGGCACATTAATGCGCTCACGTGGTGGCAATAGTTCCTCGAGCATAGTCAGCTGGGTTGAAGTGGCGAAATTGTTCTCGGGAAAAGTTACCTTAAACTTGACGTAAAGATCCCCCTTTTCTGCTGGCTTGTTGTACACCGGCATTCCCTCAGACCGCAGTATTTTTATGTGGTTGTGGTGGAGGACCTCACCGGGTTGTGTGCGCATGCATATGTTGCGCCCGTCGAGATGCTTAAAGCAGTGCACATAGCCGCACAACGCCTCCGTGATGTTAATTTCCAGGTCACGCATATAAAGCTGCGAGTTACGTCGCATGAAAACAGAATGATCCGCCTGCACGACCACCACAATCAGGTCGCCGTATTCTCCATTCCGCAATTGGTGGCCCTCCCCGGGGAAAGGCATCTTCAACATGTGCGGTACACCACACTCAATTTCCACCTGGCGTTTCTTGCGCTCCTCAATGAAGCCACTGCCGCGACAAGTGCTACAGCGCATATCTTCCTTTATTGTATAACCTCGTCCTTCGCAAGTGGGACACAACTGATTAAATAAACAGCGTAAGGTAATGACATTTTTTTGGAAAGCTTAAATTTACATACCGCATCGAAGGCACTCAGACCCATGAATGTGAAAGCAGCTGCGCGACCCATACCACCGCAAGCCTCACAACTTACGCGGCCCTCTTTCGGACCACCCTCCCCATTGCAAGCGTTGCACAGACGATGACGTTTATAGTCTACAGTTTTCTCCATGGAGCCCACATAGATCTCTTCCAACGTCAGGTCTAACTTTATTACTATCTGGCCCTCACGCTTGCTGCGGCCACCACCAGCGCCGCCGAAGGGGAACCATTGCGCGAAAAAATCGGAGGAATCGCTGAAGCCATCGGCGCCCTCCTGTAAGCCTTTTAGTCCGTAGCGGTCGTAGATACGACGTTTCTCTGGATCAGAAAGCACCTCATAGGCGAACGAAATCTCTTTGAACTTTTCACCAGCATCGGGATTCTTATCTGGATGGAATTCTTTTGCCAATTTACGGTAATTCTGCGAGAAAATATAAAATCTATATGAATAGGAAACATAAATGTTTATGAATAAAAACTAGAGAGGTCTCTTTTTGCTTTGCATAAACAGCCCAAAGCGGGAATTCACTGTAGCTTAGACGCCAAAGCAGACAGCCTCTTTTTTTTTGTAGTGCATTAATCCAAACATATTTGTTAGTTGTCAAACAATAACTTAAAAACAAAAAGAGTTAAGACCATTTCAAAGCCAAACCTTCTTTATTTCCTCATCAGTTGCATCTTTGCCCACACCTAACACATCGTACAAATTCAAATTTTCCATTGATTGCCTTAAAAACTAAATGTAAGTCCCAAATTAGATAAAAATTTCAACAGCTCCGCTGTTATTCTACTACCGCTTGAAAAATATTTATAATATTCTTGTTTGACAGAAAACAGGTGTTATGGGAACTACCAGATTGTTTCCCATGGTAGCCACTTCGGTGAAAAATGATTATTTTAGGCCAGCTGGTAACCACGCCCAACTATTCGGCCAGAGTTGGTAAACACCATGCTTATTTCATGCAGCTCTCGAATGCTGACGGGTAAATTTAGCTCGTTCGCGTTTGCCACGCTACGGCTACACTCGCCATATTGCTTTTCACGTCACATCATCGGAAATTTTCCAGAAAATAAGTGAGATAAATAACGAAATAATTAAATTTAAATTAGTGGAGAAATTTGCAATATCAAAAATAATCATAATTTAATAAGATAAAAGCTTCCTGATTAGAAAAAAAGCGCATATTATTGCATCTGGAGAATTTTTTCATCCATTAAAAATCAGTGCGAAGAAAAGACGTAAAAATTTTGTGTGTACCAACGAAAGAGCGGTGAAAACGTAACGCGCGAAAGGAGAAAGAGGAAAACGTAATAGCGTGGCTAGAAGAAGCAACAACCGAAGTAGTGTTGTTCGCTTGTGCGCACTGTGCCTAGAAAATGATGGAAAATTATGAGGACATCAGGCTAGCGCACATAAATTCGAAGGAAATCGTCGATATGCGCGAGGTCAAAATCCAAAGTAGTAATGAGTATTTGAATTTTGACCGCACACAAGCAAATTTCGGTTTTGGCGCCGAAATGTTGTCAATAAATACTGCGCCAACGTCGACGACGGCATCGGCAGCAACAAGCGAACACCAAGGCAAAGCAAATTGTGAAATCAAAACAAAAACATTGCTTCCAACAGAAGAACAAGAAATTGGCGGCAACGCCGACACATCGTCTGGGCAAATTGAAAGTGATTTAGAGCAGTTTGAAGACAAAAAATCGCTGGAAAAATCCAATGGCTCAGATCCCGATGATGATGATGATGAGGACGACGATGAAGAAGATTGTGAAGATGATGACGATGACGACGACGATTCCAGCTCAGAATGCTCTTCTCTCGGTCCAGATTGGAAAATGCGTTGGCTTCAACGTGAGTTCTACACAGGACGCGTCCCACGTCAGATAATCGCCAGTATAATGCCACACTTCGCCACAGGTCTGGCAGCCGATGCGGAAGATTCGGTTCTATGGGACTATTTGGCACATCTGCTTAACGAGCCAAAGCGTCGAACCAAGCTCACAAATGTGAACACCTTTGATGATGTGATTGAATTGGTACAGAAATCTGAGAACATCATTGTGTTGACAGGCGCTGGCGTCTCCGTTTCCTGTGGTATACCAGATTTTCGTTCCACCAACGGGATATATGCACGACTAGCGCACGATTTTCCCGACCTCCCCGATCCACAGGCCATGTTCGATATTAACTACTTCAAGCGTGATCCGCGGCCGTTCTACAAGTTTGCTCGCGAAATCTATCCTGGCGAATTCAAACCGTCCCCTTGCCATCGATTTATTAAAATGCTCGAGACAAAGGGAAAACTGTTGCGCAACTACACGCAGAATATCGACACGCTTGAGCAGGTAGCGGGCATACAACGAGTTATTGAGTGCCACGGTTCGTTCTCAACAGCTTCGTGTACCAAATGCAAATACAAGTGCAATGCCGACGCATTACGGGCGGACATATTTGCCCAACGCATTCCCGTCTGTCCTCAATGTCAGCCAAATGTGGAACAGAGTGTCGATGCCTCTGTGGCAGTCACCGAGGAAGATCTAAAACAGATTGTTGAGAATGGCATAATGAAGCCCGACATAGTATTCTTTGGCGAGGGTGAGTAAATCAAAGGCCATTCATGCCCCTTTATCGCTCTAATTTCACTTTTAATATTTTTGTGCAGGTCTGCCTGACGAATACCATACGGTCATGGCCACAGACAAGGACAAGTGCGACCTCTTGATTGTTATTGGATCATCGCTGAAGGTGAGGCCTGTGGCTCACATTCCCAGCAGCATACCAGGATCGGTGCCCCAGATACTTATCAATCGTGAGCAACTACATCATTTGAAATTCGATGTGGAGCTACTGGGCGACTCCGATGTCATCATCAATCAGATTTGTCATCGCCTGGCTAAGGAACCAGGCACCGGATCCAATGATTGGTTGCAGCTTTGCTGCGACGATGCCGTACTGAATGAGTCCAAAGACCTGCTGCCCATTGAGCATCTGCATCATCACCGCCACTCCACCTCGGAAAGTGAGCAACAGTCACAATTGGACACAGACACGCAGTCGCTGAAATCGAATGGTTCGGCCGACTATTTGCTTGGTTCAGCAGGCACCTGCTCGGATAGCGGCTTCGAGTCTTCTACATTCACATCAGTGCACAGCAAACGCGTACAGAGCAATGCGGCCGATCGTGCTGCCATTGAACGCATAAAATCGGACATACTGGTCGAGCTAAATGAGACGGCAGTGCTGAGCTGTGACAGATTGGCTGCGCCAACTGTGGTGAATCGTCATCTTTCGATTGACTCGTCGAAGGACAGCGGCATCGAGCAGTGTGAGTTCTCAAATCCCGCCCAGCCTGAGCCGTGCAGCAGCAGCAGCTGCAACAATGAAGCAACCCAACACAACATTTATGTTAGCAATGCAGGGACAAGTGGCGATGGTGGTGGCCACTGCGATAACGTCGTGCAAGAAACCAAAACCGCAGCTCCTAGTTTGACGCCAACACCACCGCAACGCAAACGACAAAGTGCAGCTGAACGTTTGTTTCCAGGCACTTTCTATTGCCACACAAATAATTGCTCCTACGTCTTCCCAGGAGCACAAGTATTTTGGGACAATGACTACAGTGACTTGGATGATGACGATGATGAGGATGATGAGAGCATCGCCGGTGGCGAGGATGACGACGCCTGCGATTTGAATGCAGTGCCTTTGTCGCCGCTGCTACCACCATCGGTGGAGGCTCATATAGTTACTGAGATAGCCAATAGTGCGTTGGATGTAACCGAAGAGTGCAGTCCCACCAAAAAGCGTCGCTCAGAAACTGCAGAAACCGCGCTCGATAGCTCGATAAGTGAGTCTCAGATGCCCGCCTTGATTTGCAGTCCCCCTCCGATTAAAAAGCGGCGATCCAGTGCTGAGAACTTGCCTGACCAAACTCAAGGTACAGAATCATCAAAAGAAAAATCAACGGCGCTTGCAATTGTATAAAGCTTTTGGTCGTATAATAGATTAATATATTTATTTAAATTACTTTTACCGCCAAGATCATCTCTTATAAAGTCTACGTTTATACAAGGCTTAAACATCTTGTATTGAATTCATGAATCATTTCCCTTTTTATGCATACGAAATATTTTTGTTTGAAAATTAACATATGTTCATGTTGAAAAAGAGTGAATGAATGAATCGTTCTATGTATTTCGATCCATTCGCAAAACTTAGAGTTCGAAAATTGTTCTATCCCATTAACTCGTGGTTGAATTAGAATGTATTGCAAACGAATGATTGAATCATTCAATTTTTTTGCAACCATTGTCAAATTTCGGGTTATGGTGAGACAGCAGTTTAGTTAAGTTTCATTTTCTTAGATCTGTAATGTTATGCATTGTATAAACGTAGGTATAGCTTTGTAGAAAATTGATAAGACACACACATAACCACGAGACCACTACGACTGAAGCTGAGGCCGTATAATTTGGAAATATGTTTTTCACCCAAATTTCTACGTCATTTTAAATCTATGTGCTGTCGAGGCAAATTAGAGCCCCATCATTCAAAATAAATGCAATATTTTTTCCATTTTTATTCAGCTATTGCACTATGCAGCTTTTATATTTTTGGTACGATTAAGGTTATAGTTGAGTAGATTTTTAATTTATGTTGAACTAAATCTAAACACCAATGTAAATGTTAGAATTTTTTATATTAATTTGTTATTGAGGCCTTTTTAGATAAAAAGCAAGCGTATACATATTTTAATGAAATATTGCCTCAACTTCAAAACTAGGCTAAGAACTTAAAATCTATATTTAAGAGTGCGAAAAGTGAGTATTTCAGCTGGCAATAGCCACAGACGACACACCCTGTATATATGCACACATAGGAGCTAGACATACGGTACATATTATTATTCCTATCATTATCAACTTATGCTTATTATTTTCGTTTTCTTCTTTCTATCGGTTATGGCTAATTCCCACACAAATGCTTACATACACACAGTTTTTTGGAAGCACTATATATTTATACCCTATATACATACAAACAAATGTATGTAATAAACTTTTGTCATTAGTGTACGTGCTTTTTTGGCTTTCAAGTCTGCAAGCACGTGTCACTAAAAGTGTTAATCAAAATCTAGATTTAGAAGAAAATAATAGCAACCAAATTAAATTTAACGTTATTTTATAAGTCCTAATTGTAAAGACATCCAAATGTATTATGCGAAATAAATTAAAGGAAAATTTATGTTAACAAAAAGAATATTAAAAAACGTGGTCATGTTTTTAATACACACTTTTCAAACCACTCAATTCATACTGATCCAATCCAATCCATACTGATTCCCGGATCGACCTTGAGAAGGATCCCGCAAAGCCTAAGCAGCTTAGGTACAAATTTTGTAATTCCCCGTTTGATTTTGCATCCAATCACATAACTTTTGGGAACTTAAGCAGGAATAGTTTGAATTTCATAAGGAACTAGCGTTCCCGACTTGCGTTGCTGCGCCACTGAATTGTTGTGCCTTTTAATCTTTCCCACGTCACATCTTTCCCAATACGTCCTTCGCTATTTATGGCTTCGATTACGTTCTTGATTGATTGCCGTCCACCTTTCGTCGTCTGTCCAAAGGATGTCTGTTGGTGTTTCTTGGATCAGATGAGGGGGCCCTTTCGCGCATTTGCCGGAGTCTCGACTTCCGTTCTTGTTTCGTATTGATGGCCCTAGACGTAGATGCCCTATATATGCCCTCTGTCAACTAATTGTTTGCAAAATGTCACACGGACTTCTTGCAGTCATTGTAAATATTATTGGCCAACTCCCTGAGTTGCTTGCGGTTTGATTTCAATGCTTTTTAAAATTTGTGAGCAATCCTGCCGAGAAAGCTATGGAAATCTGCCTTGAGAGCTGTTTAATTCTCTTTTTCGGCGCGGTTAATGTTATTATAGACTGTTCTAAGCTTAATTCGAAATGTTTTGGCCAACTGTTTGGCTGTTTTTCCGTTGCTATAATGGAAAAACACTAGCTGTATCAAATCATCATAAGTGCGTTTGCAAAAATGGTCAAAGTGACAGATACGTTACCAAACTGAAGCAAATTTTACAAGGAATTAGTGAAAGGAATACTAGTAAAAAAAATGCGATCGGTCCTTTTCGATTTGGCCGTCCCGTTACTTTTTCTATGGTCTTCTTTCAACCAGTGTTTGCATTTTGCAAACAATTAATTGACAGTGTCGTAAATGCTGTTGTTTTGATTTCTTCGTTTCTTTTACGTTTTCAATGGAAATTTGTCTCTCTTTTTTTTGACATACTCATAGCTAATACATATCTTAATAATAATTGATAAGCAAAATATTCCCAAATAATGCCATTATTTATAAATTTAATATTAAAGTTGAAATTTGGTGACAAATTTCATTTTGCAACCAATTAGTTGACAGACTGTATATATAGATAGAATCTAATTCGAGCCGAACTTGGATCATCAGTCAAAACTTTTAAACATATTCATATGTACTTGTATATACATTTGTATGCTTTTGAAGCGCATCCTGGCTCTATGTCACGTTCAGTCTATTTATTGCCCTAGCTTTCGCAAAGTAATTTGCTGGGTAGTTCGTAGAGAAGCATAAACATTATGGAAAGAGAATTAGTATACATATGTATGTACATATGTACATACATATGTACTCTATAATAAATGCATAAATGTACCTGTACCTAAGCAAACTCCCGGCACTGAGTTGTACGTACCCATAGCAGAAGAAATAATAAAATGATCTCTGATATCTCAGAAAGAATAAGAGATAGAATAACCAAACTTGGTATCCAGATTCTCCCAAGTCTGCGAAAGGACGAGTTTGTGGTTTTTTTTTTCTGATACACCCCTCCCTTACCCCGCTATTTGCAATTTTCCATAACTCCCGTAGTTCGTGGAATTTTGACTTCAAATTTGACAACTATCCCGAAGTGATAATATGTCCCGTTAGTGAGAAAGTGTTCGTATCCCAAGTATCATAATGGTAGGTCAATTATGAAGAAAGTTATAGCCATATATATTATATGTATATTTATTTATTTAGTAAATCAACAAATAGTGCTGTCGATACATATACAAAAACTATGATTTATATTATGATATAATATTAAATTATTAAATAAAGATATTTAATAACACAACGTTATAATTTCAACTTAAAAAATAAGAAAGCCTAAGATAAAACTATACAATAACGTCTACTAATGCCTCCGACCCGTTGGGGGACATTATAGACCTAACAGGCTAAAAAAAATAGTAATTACAGAAGGAAAAGTAATTCTAATTAACAGCTAATTAAGCATTAAGAGAAAGAGTAAAAGGGAAATCTCCAACCCGGTGGGGGAAAATTTGAAAGCCAGTCCGGCAAGCTATATAAGCACGCATAGACATGATTCTCATGCTGTTGAAGCTGCATATAAATTAAGTCTCCACTTATATTCATACTAACGTATCCGACTTGTGTTGCTGTGCTACTAGATTGTTGTGCTTTTTAAGCTTTTCAAAGTCACATCTCTCCCAATACGTCCTTCGCTTTTTATGGCTTCGATTAGGTCCTTGATTATATTTGAGTACCCACTGTCGTGCACCTTTCTTCGTCTGCATAAAGGATATCCGTCGCCTCTATTTGGTATTTCTTGGATCAGATGCCCTTTCGCGAAGATCTTGCAAACGTGTTTTTCGTGGGGGAATTCCCGATTTTCCGTTCGTATAATCACCTATATCTTGGAGACTATGAGACATAGGGACACCAAATTTTAGTCCAATATACCTTATCTGAATATGATGTAAATGTGTATTTTGGAATTTCCTCCCTTCCCCCTCTCCCCAGCAATCTCTGATTTTCCACACCTCACGTATTTCTTGGAACTTTTGAAAAAAAATTTGCAAATAACTTCAGTTAGTGATTTTATGTCCGCGTGTCAAGTTTCATTATGATAGGCCGATTTAATAGGAAGTTATAACCATATATGTAATGTCAGGCCAAGCACTTCCCGCAGCTGTTGTTGTTGTTGCTGCTTTGCGCAGGCACACGAGACATACACAGACACACACAAACACACGCAAGCACGTGAGACACGCATATTTATTCAACACATGTATGTAAGCCTCTCCACTTGTTTGCAAATATAATATAGCCTATGTTGACCGGGAATAGTGTAGCTTCCCAACAGAATCCTTTAAATCGACCCAGTAGTTTCTGAGCCTTTTCATTAAATAAACAAACAAACAATCATTTGTATAATATTAGTATAGATATGTATATATATTGTACCAAATGTACAAATTACAAAGATACTAGTACCAAACTATAGCATACCTTGGGGAATACTTTTTAATGTTGCAACCAATAATTGTATTGATACCCAAAGGTTACAAAGGTTAAATTACAAAGATACTAGTACCAATGTACTAGTTTGTTGCCTATGTACATTTACTAGTTACAAGTTTTGAATTATTTGGGGAATACTTTTCAATACGCATTTACACACTTCGCAAAACCAATAATTGATACTAGTAACAGAGTTACTAGTAAAGAGGGTACTAGTTTTTAATTTTTATGTGTTTGTCGGTGATGATCAAAAACGAGTATTACGAATGTGTACGGATGCATCACATAAGCGGGTCTTAAGTAGGTACCAGTAGTCACATTTTTACTGGTACCAACTAAAGTTAGAACGGTTCTAGTTACAAAGGTTCTAGTAACAAAGTTACTAGTGTTTGTGTTTGTCTGTGATGATCAAAAACGAGTATTACGAATGCGTACGGATCCATATCATGAGCGTGTCTTAAACGTACAACCAAATTTCTATCAAGCACAAAGTACAAGTAGTACTAGTAGGTATTAGTAACAGCGGTACTAGTTCTTGCAGAAGGGCATAGTGAATTTAAAAATTCCTTTGGGTAATGGACTGTGTCTTCGATATTACTCACGGTGCAGATCGATTGGTAATTTTTTATTTGTCTGGGGACTTTTAAATAATATTGCCTTAATATTTGAAGTGACATAATGTTCTATGATGATTCTGAACTAACAGTATCCCGTTCAGGAATTACATACATAGGTAATTTGTTGGTTACATTATTGGCGTTTTAGTAACGATCTCTACAATGTACACGAGTAAAATAGGTTTGCGGGAGGTGAAAAAATGTAACAGGCCCCACAAAGTATATATATTCTTGATCACCATGACAAAACGAGTCGATCTAGCCCTGTCTGTCTGTCCGTACAATTTTGAACAAAAATGCCTTATATGTGTACGCTATACGAGTTTGTTTTATTTTTATTTTTTTTTTTATTTTCCCCCCTCCACTTTCCCCCCATTAAACAAACTTGCACAGCGTAGGCCTGAGACCCAGGTGTTCATATGGACGGACAGACAGAATTTTAAAATGGACCAAGAAATGATTCCAAAAATATCATCAATATCAAAACTCTCCAATTAACTTGGCAATTGGTATGTAAGTATAATTTAAAACAAATTGTATTCATTATTTGCAATTTTAAATTCTTTTTATTAAGTATTTTTTGACATTAGCTGCTATATTTCCTTATATGTACGTAAGCTAATAAATAAGTAAGGTTCCTTTTTAAAAAAAGTACACGCATATGATTATTGCAAACTAGAATATGTGACAAGTTTCGAGATGAACTTCTCATGTAACTGTTTGCTTGTAACTCTGACTTACAGACTAGGTGCGGTTTTTTTTTTAAACTGGATGATGCTCTACAAGCTGTCTGATTTGTAGATACCTTCATTATTGGGCTTTAATATAGTTGGTTGAGTTAGCTTGCGGCTGAGTTTCCACACAAGCACAAAACCTATGTACATTTAACAATCTTATATATTTATTTCCTCTTCACTTATTTGAGCTATTATAAAAATATGTATGTGTAATAAAATTTATACCTTTTTCAATTCACGTTCTATATATGTATGTATATAGAAACTCGGACTGATAACATTGCGTATTACTAATCGCGACTAATCGTACAAAATAGCGCGATGTGAGACTTGAATTAGTTGTTATACAAATTGTATGTGGATATTTTATTCCATTATAGGCAACGTATGTGTTTCAATTTCAAGTTCTAACAAAATACTATATGTGTAGTATAAAGTAGTATGTATATGCAAATGTGTACGTTAAAGGGCATGTGTCTATGAACTCCCTGTTCGAAAATAACAATTGTGTGATCAACTAAGATGTGCAATAGCAGCTTATGTTTGTTATTTCATTTTTCACACATGTGTTTATGTATATTCTGCTTTTCCTAAACCTTCAGCCGAATTAGCAGCATTGGAAGAGTGCGCCAACTTAACACGCACTATAAAAACGACGTCTTGTTGGTTTTGTGCGATCGAGCCTTACCGGGATTTATTTTGCACTTAAGCTGGGCAATTAGATCGGAGATTTTCAGCGCTGGTCCCACTTTCATTCCCAGCAGGGGAATGATATCGTCCTTGGTCAGCTGCAGCAGCCGCTTGCCATCGATTTTGTTCCGACTAAATGTGTCGCAGTGGGCAGTGCAGTCGTTGACCCGCAAAAATTGCGACACATCGTAAACGTTCCAAGATTCGGGCATAAGGTCCACTTGAGCTTCATTGGAATCTATGTCCGCGAGACGTGGAATGTACTTGCTGTTGGTCACCGCTGAGTTCTATGGGAGCAATAAGAAATATATTAGCAAGCACTTACAGAAATACAAGTGGGGTTAGGGCTGTGGCTAGGGACAGGATAGGGTGTTGGGAGATAGGTGTGTGATATAATGAAATTGTGGCAAGTGGCAAATAACAGTGCGTAAACGAAAATTATGTTTATACTAGGGAATCGAACCGATATTCTTACCCAAGCTAAAATAATGATCAACGCTACGAAAGTTCTAGGAAACTATTTACTCTTAACCTATCTTACTCAATTTAATGGAATAATATTCAGTTTGATTCCCCTGCCTTTTACTCGTATATACATATTATTTGATGGTTGTTTATGCGAATGACCGACGCTTATGAGTTTGTCCAGCGATCATTAAGCGGCGGGCAGGCAGGCAGGCGGGCGGGCGGTCATGATTTTAAAGCTATACGCACTATTATCCACAAGTACTCACCGCAATGTAGCTAGTGGCTTTGCGACCCACAGTTGGTGGCGCAGGAGATTTAGTAGTGGAAGGTTTCTTTACCGTTGTTTTGTTGGCCACAATGGGCGTTACCGCTGCGGCTGGCGTTGTGCCGGCTCCGCCGCATCCCTGATCGGTGGCAATTGATTGTGTAGTTGACTGCTCGGATACATGGCTGGTGCTACCGTCCCCATCGGCATCTCCATACTCATCATCCTCCTCCTCGGGCTGGCTGTTTTCATAGAATGCTGCATTGTGATGTTCGGGCTTCAGTTCGAGCTTAATGCTTAGCTTGGGCAAATGGGGCGTTGTCTTCAAAGCGATTGTGCGTGATTTTACTGTCGCTGTGAAGGATAATTAGTGGATGAAGTGCAAATGATATATGTACTCTGAACATGCTGAGCGATCACCTACCTGTTGTTGTCTTGGTGTCAGGCGCTTGCTTAGTAGCTCCACTAGATGGCGAGGCACCATTGGTGCCTTTTTTGGTCTTCTTCTTTTTCTGTACCTTTGTCTTTGGAGTTGCTTTGGGCACTTGCTGCTGCGAAACCCGCGGTGGGCCTTCAAGTTTATGACCTACAAGTACACACCAGCCAACTGGATAGATGTCCGCGGACTCGCAGTCGAGCCACTGGTCATACTCATCCGTCCAACCGTCAAAGTGGACCTTCAACAGGCGACCAACAACGCGTGCCACAGTAGCTACACAAACGAGCCGGGGGTCCATAAGATCAGCACACTCCAAGCTCATGCCGGCCTTATTGGATGAGATTTTTTTATGAGTGTTTAATGATTGATGCTGATTGATTGGTTACATACCTCAAAGCCGTGATCAGGCACCACACGATGGAACAGATGCTGACCGGCCGCTATAGCACCAGTATCGCGCAAATAGCCATCCCAGGTGAAGGTGCGTGCATCATAGCCATTGGGCGGAGTCACAGTAATATTGTTTGAGGCACAAAAACCAGCTGGGAAGATGCAGGGCGACTTCTCGTGGTAGCAAAACCTGCAGATATTTGAAATGTACACACGCACAGTCAGTTAATTTGGCACTGGTCAATCAGTATGCGTTTTTCGCTCACCAATCTGACCCTGATGCGTCCGGCTGGTACGAATCTATGCGTATCATCATGTAGCCAAACTTTAGGACCGCCATAACAGTGGCCGGGCAAATAGAGCTAAGGTTGAGTGGATCAACTGCTTCAATTTTCATGCCTTCGATGAAGCCGTTCGTCTTGCCATCCAGGAAATATTCGTCAAAGGTGAAATTCATTTTGAAGAGTTCGATTGTAGCATCGTCCTCATGCACCTCAATCATGGCCTCACGACCCGCTGTACAGAATGTAATGAATCAGTGTTCCTGTATATTACAAACTAGACATTGCTTACCTAACATGCGCTCCAGATAGTCTTGTGGCGCAGCCAAATTATGTCCCACTGTAGTAGCCCACCCCACGGGGTGTATAATGGGCGAGTCCTCATGACACCAAAACCCATCGTCCGAGTCAAAGTAGCGCAAGAAGAGGCGCTTGCCTACAATTTTGGTGACGGTGGCTAGTCGCACTTGGGATATGCGATCCTTATCGACGCACTCGAGATTCAGACCTAGACGAAAACGTGACTGCATGCTATCGTTAATTTTGTTATAAAAACTCGAGGGGAGCGTCCGTGCGCCAGATAAGCGTTCCACCAGAAAGTCTTTCCAATCCTTGTACTTGTGCTCGATGCTGCGTGGTGGTATCAAAGGCTTGCCCCGCGTTGCACACCATCCGACGGAGTGCACCTCGGCATTGCATAGATTCACCCAAAAATCATGCGAGCCCGTATCAAAGCCCTCATAGCGCATAAGAGCCTTGTAGCCACTAATCTCCAGAATGGTGGCAACCCAAAACGAGGTGGGGGTCTGACCTGGTTGAATTACTTCGATGTTATCGCAATCTGTGTTCTCTACCTCCACCTTCATCTGCACACCCAAATTATCCCAGACTTCGTAGCCGGGTGCATGTGGAAAACAGGTGACGGGGGCAGCCACAAAGTTTGTTTTTCCCAGACGCGGCATCCAGTCGTGCGAATGTGAAGGATCGTATAGACGTCTCCGAATACTAATGATTTTCTCCATTTGCGGACACGACGCTGGAAGACGTTCATATTTGGGTATTTGAGGCAGCTCATCCTGAGGAAAAACATCGCGAAACATGCGTAAGGCCTTCGGTGTCGGATACGATGAGTTAGAGTTAGTTGCTGGTGAGGTATTACTGTTGGCATCACCCTCAATACCACCGCCCCCATTTGCTGTGGTTGGCGTCGCGGCGTCGCCAACCGCGCCTCCGTTTAGAGCTGCAATGGTCTCGTCTGCGGCCATTTGTACATTTGAGGCTGCATCGCCGATCAGGGACATGGGCTCACCGAAGCCATTGAGCTGTGTTATCTTCGATTGGTCTGTTATGCGGAAACGATAGTTCGCATTCTTAATGTGGGCGGCTCGCAGAGCGAGCTCAATGTCAGACTGATGTTGTTGCTGATCCTCACTGCTTGGCGGCAACGAGTCGACAACATTATCCAAGCTGCTGTTGTTGCCAGTAACGACAGGTGCGGGCGGACTTGCAGATTGCTGTGCATCCATTTTACTGTTCAAAACGAGGGAATATAGTTCGCCACGAGCGCAGGCCATACTACAAAAACGACGGGATTTTGTATAGAATGTGTGCTTCACACCGATGGCGCCGCAACGTTCACAGACAGCTGCAATTAGATGGAGGAGTATTAAATTAGTTACATTAACGTACGAGACAAGCACTCGCATACATGCCCTATTCAACACAAACCCAAATTCGCAAACATACAGAAAAGCAAACGCATAACTAAACTAAAATATGCGTACATTTATTTACATAAATAAAATGTGGAAAGTATAAACATACCCATGCCATCTTTTTGTATCGGTATCACCGACGGATCAATGTTGCCCTTATAGGCTATCGGCGTTTTAAGCACGAGTCCTGGCCTGTTTACCGGCTCAATTTTGCGCGTTTTGCGTTGGGAGCGCATTGTGCTGCCACCACTGCCAGCGCTACCACCACCACCACTGCCAAGTGCAACACCACTTTTACCACCACCATCACTCAGGCTGTATTGCTGGCTCTTGAGCGGTTCGCCTGAGACCATAATGTTGCCAAAGGCATTGCTTCCTGCATTGTTGGTGCAGAGAGACGGTAGCGGGGCGGCGTTCGTCGTGTTGACAATGGCGTGTGTGGTTCCCAGTAGCTTATGTTGGAGCAGTCCGTCACTGAGCGGTACCACCAAATCATGCTCCACCCCGGTACCAAGACCCGGTAGATTTGTCATGCATGATGATGAGGATTGCGACAAATCCTTATCCGAGGATGTCATAAAATCTGTCCCATCATATGAATTTTCCTCGTTCATCAATACAAAGTCATCGATATTTATAATTTCTTGCTTGGGTTCGAGATCAGACATGCCACCGCTTGCGCCGCCATCATCATATGTATCATCCACATGGCCGTAGACCTGCTGGTCATCATCCATTGCCGTGGAGCCAATGCCAACGCCGCCATCGTCGCCCATCAAGGTGCTACCAGCACCAATTACCGAATTTCCGCCACCGCCAATGGTCTCATCATCGTCCATGACACCAGAATAATTTTGAAAAACAGCTGCCGCGCTCTGTTGCAGCAATTGCTGCTGCAGGCCACCCATATGGGCAAACCCGTATAGATTGTTGGTATTATTTGCTATAAAGGTGCCCGGCTGCATGCCCAAAGCGGCAGCAGCTACCGCAGCCTGGCCCGTGAAATCCCCCCCAACAATGCTCATCATTGGATTGAGATCCTTTATGTGGTGGTCAAGAGCGGTGTTGGTAGTGATGATAGCAGTAGGTTGGTGTGGATATGTGTGTGTTGAGTTGAGTCGTATAAGATTGGTGGGTAGTTGAGTTGAGTGGGTGTCAATCGGGTAAATTGTTGAACAACAACGGTTAACCAATACATAAATCATAGAAAAGAAAGTAGAAGAAATAAGTAATAAATTCGAATTTTAAACTAAGCAGAAACAAGAGATTATATATACTACATATAATATGTATTTACATATTCAAATGGAAATGGATTGAAACACAGAATGAGTTGCAAAATTGTGAAATATTCTTATACTACACAGGCTAAGCCAAATGGAATTTGGGTTTGTTTAGCTTCGGCTGCTAGGCAAGTAAGGCGTTGCTGGATTTTCTTGCCTTACTCACTTGTCAAGTTTCCCACTTAAAACGTACCAATCAGCTAATCCCTTTGCCATTGAATTCAAATTAAATCGTAAACTTACCAAAGTTGGTTGATGTGTCATATCCTCCATAACAGAAAGACCTACAGATGGGTGACCAAGCATTGTAGCAGCATCCTCCAGTGAAATTCGCTCAGAGTTGTATTGACTGCTCATCCACATCATACGCAATTCCGACGGATTCATTGTATGTTTTGCTTTACTACTACATAAAACGCATAAACATTTATGTCTCTGACACGACCACGTTCTATTTCTGTTAATTTAAGCGGCTAGGCATTTGAACTGCAACAATGACGCGCACAAGTACACGCAACGCACTCACACTACCATGTTCCGTGTTGGTCGTTTCCCTGTGAAATTGCTTAGTTGCAACTCCTTGCAGCACAAGGCCATATGGATAAGAACAGCCAGCGCCTGTTTGTTTGCTTTATTTTTTATTATTATTATATTGTCCACACAACACAGCTCCTGCGCATGTGAGAGTGCTGTTGAGACCGCAAGGGTAATGATTAACGACTTCCGCTGCTTCTAGACTGCACTAAAATGTTAAAGCTATCCACAAAAACAAAGCAACAAGATCTATTGTTACAATTTAATATATTTATGTTTGCGAAAAACTAATACTACATGCTTTTGCACACTTCTACTTTTTCTTTCTACGCTCGAAAAGTCAATGAAGCGCACCAAAATCCGAGCGCGCAGACTACGAACGACATACAAAAGAAAACGCACAAAGAGTCTTACAAAAAACACTTACATTTAGTCACGTTTTATGTGATTTGTTGCACAAATGTTAGTCATCCAACGAATTGCTCTTTAATTTAACACATTTTCAACTGTTTTTCTTGAATTTTAAGAGGCTTTACGCAAGTTTTTGGCATTATTTTCGCGCAAATTCAATGCCTGTGTTTCTTTAGAGATGCGTGAAATATTAGCATTCTCGATTTTCTGTAATTTGGTTGGAAACAGTACTGGTAGCAGTGCTGCAAAACATAAAAAGTAAAGAACATTGTAATACATTTTAAAAAAATTAAACACATCTAAATCTAATTCATATAAATCTGGACTGCTTTTAAAAATTCGATTTTTCATGTTAACGTATGTATACTATCTAATTAATTTAATAATTTTAAATATTGGACAAAAGATATAATAGCAGTGGTATTCTTGCAACAGGAAATCGTAAAAAACCAGTTCAAAAGGCTCCTCCATGTAAAGAATACAAAGCAATCTGAAATATAAATTTCGCAAAATATGGTGGTATGACCTGTTAAAGTAATAACGAAATTAAACTGAATACGGATTTAAATATTATGAATTATGAATAAGTTGCAGGAATACCACTAATATCCAAATTTAATCGTTTTAATCAATGCTAACTCATTTATCGATTCAAACACATTAACCGATTGTATCGGGACCCCCCCTTCACTAACTCTCCTGACATCAGCAGCATACAGAAATTTAAACATTTTTTAATCTTGTTCAATCGCATTGTATATTGCTCTGACCAATAGAAAATTCTTAAAAGTTTTCCGTTTAATACTTCAATGGCGCCAAAGGTGAAATCAGTTGGTATTAAACCGAAGGGACAGGTCTTCAAAGACAAGTCTAAACCCACCGATGTTCGGCTGTCGAATATACAGGCTGCGAAGGGTAAGAAAAGTTTAAATTTATGACTTAAATGTATGTAGAATAAATATTTGCAAGGTGAATTACATAATGTTATGCGAAACCAGTTATAAAGTTCACTATTTGCATAAAAAAATGCAATACATGAACCAGACGCCGGTTGCGGTCGTCTCGAAAATTCTTAGGTGTAAGAAGAAGAGAATCTACTCACACTTCTATATGACTCATGTGATGCATGCAAACATGTTAATAATCTCCTAATATTTTATTTCTGTTATTCGGTATATCCTCTAGCTGTCTCTGATTCCATTCGCACCAGTCTTGGTCCTCGGGGCATGGATAAAATGATTCAAGCCGCCAATGGCGAGGTATCAATCACTAATGATGGCGCTACTATTCTAAAGCAAATGAACGTCTTGCATCCCGCTGCGAAGATGTTGGTTGAGCTGTCGCGCGCCCAGGATGTGGAAGCTGGTGACGGCACTACTTCTGTTGTGGTCATTGCAGGGGCTCTCTTGGAGGCATGCGAGAAACTCTTGCAGAAGGGATTGCATCCTACGGCCATTTCCGATTCGTTCCAGCGCTGTTCAAACAAGGCCGTTGAAATTCTGACACAAATGTCGACACCAATTGAACTCAACGATCGCGAGACTCTGATTAAGAGCGCTTCGACTTCGCTTAACTCCAAAGTCGTATCACAACAGAGCAGCCTTTTGGCCCCCATTGCTGTTGATGCTGTTCTTAAGGTAACAGAGCCTGGCAAAGAGAATTCTGTGGACTTGAAAAACATTAAAGTTATCCAAAGTCTTGGTGGCACTGTAGAAGATACCCAATTAGTCGACGGATTGGTGTTTACCAGCCGTTCGGCCGGCACTAATGCGCCCAAGCGTATAGAGAAAGCCAAGATTGGTTTAATTCAATTTTGCATTTCAGCACCTAAAACAGATGTGAGTAACGTGCCATGTTGTCGAAGATTTTACTATATTATTGCTTATTTTGTAGATGGATCATAATGTTATTGTCTCTGATTATGCGGCCATGGACCGCGTATTGAAGGAAGAACGTTCGTACATTTTGAACATCGTAAAACAAATCAAGAAAGTTGGCTGCAACGTCCTGTTGGTGCAGAAATCAATTCTTCGGTAGGCATCCGTGCTTTAACCAGAACCTTGATAGATACTTACATAGCTTTATTACAGTGATGCCGTTTCTGATTTGGCCCAACACTTCTTAGACAAGATTAAGTGCCTGGTCGTCAAGGATGTTGAGCGTGAGGACATTGAGTTCGTGTGTAAAACTCTGCACTGCCGCCCAATCGCCTCTTTGGATCACTTTACTGCCGAGAACTTGTCCAGTGCTGAACTAGTAGAGGAGGTGTCTAGTGGAACCAACAAATTTGTCAAGATAACTGGCATACAGAACCAGGGTCGCACAGTTTCAATAATTTGTCGGGGGTCGAATAAGTTGGTATTGGAGGAGGCGGCTCGATCCTTGCATGATGCACTGTGTGTGGTTCGTTGCCTTGTGAAAAGACAAGCTCAAATTGTGGGCGGAGGTGCGCCTGAGATTGAGATGGCTTTGCAATTGGCAGCTGTTGCACAAACGGTGGATGGCGTTGATGCCTATTGCTTCCGCGCCTACGCAGATGCCTTAGAGGTAATTCCTTCAACTTTGGCTGAGAATGCCGGCTTAAACCCGATTGCAACTGTGACGGAGCTGCGCAATCGTCATGCCCAGGGCGAGAAGACAGCTGGTATTAATGTGCGTAAAGGCGCCATAACGGATATATTGGCGGAGAATGTGGTACAGCCACTGCTGGTCAGTATTTCGGCGATCACCCTCGCCACTGAGACTATACGATCGATACTTAAGATAGATGATATTGTAAGTACCTTTTCTTCTGTGTTTTGATTGCTGTTTATAATTATTTTCTGTTCAAGGTCAACACCATGAGCTAAATGGTCAGCGAGTCGCCCCCACGCTTTAAGGCTCCAATTCGAAACCTAAATTATCTACTCTGCTTTTTTCATTTACGCCTGTAACCGTGCCCATTAACCGAATAAAATTCACATACACACAAACACTAATAAAAACTAAATAAAATTTGCTTTGTATTAAACTGATTTGATCAGGGATACAATTTTTGACCAATTTACTTCCCTTGATATTCGAACCCACGCAAATGGTGTATAACTGCACATTTAAATAATAATCGTGTCTATGTGAGCAGCAACAATAACAGCTGTCGACAGAGCTTGGGCAGAGATTACATTTATGCATATGGACTCATAATCACTAACTGGAGGTATTCGGTAAGTTGGTATCCAAAAGAGAATTACGGGAGTTATGGAAAATCTCTAAATGCAGAATGACGGAGGAGGAAGGGAAATTCTAAAATACACATTTACTGTGCATTCATAAAAGGAGTCTTGTAAATAAATTTGCTTACGGGAAAACCACATTATTGGGGGAGTGGGGAGAATCAAAAAAAAAGAAACTTGCACAGCGCACTTACAACACATTGTGCAATTTGGAGCCTCTAGCTCTTATAGTCTTTGAGATCCAAGTGTATGCGGACAGACAGATTAAATCGAGTCGTCAAGCTGATCAAGAATATACAGTGAAAACTCTTGGCCGGACACTCAAGGCCGGCCAATTTTTGTCCGCCCAAGGGGAGTGTCCATTATGGGTTTTTCACTGTATATACTTTGTGGAGTCTGCCACGCATCCTTCTACCTGTTACATTTTTCACCTCCCGCAAACCAAATGTACAAGGGTATAAATACAAAACTCGTGCAGAGTCGCACAGTTTCAATATAATGCATCTAACCTCTGTATGCGTTTATTTGTGCAGTACAGAGTTGGATCAAAGCAGTAACAAGAACAGGTGCGGGCATGGGCTAGTTTTCTTTACATTTGGCCTATCATGGAGAAACTTAACGCGAGGACACATAGCATATGTATGTAATTGTCGTTGTAATTTGTGTTGATTTCAAGTTTTAAAAAAACAATCTCATCCTTTCTCGGACTTAGGAGAATCTGGATACAAAGGTTGAATATTTAAGCTCTTATACTTTTCGAGAATCTTGCTGTCATAAGGTTGCCATACTGACCAGGAATATACAAATGTATATAATTTGTATGGTCTGCTCGCCACCTGTGAGTTACATACGTTCGCACAACACTAGTATATCCTTTTACCGTTTGCGTATAGGGTATAAAAATGAGCATAAGCTACCGGATATATCAGGGGCCGCGCTATAACTGTCCTGACTATTTTGTTATAAGACACCTCTAACCAAGGTTTACATCACTAACAGGAAAAATCCATTGTAATGTTCTATATCAAATCTATTCAAATTTATTTCCGCAGCTGTACGAAATTGCAGTAAATGTATTTTACGAAAACTAAGGTAGTAGTGGTCTTGGAGACATCAGTATCTATGGGAACGATAGATTTTAGTGAAGTTTTATAGTGGTTGGATAGATTACTCACGTCTGCTTGAATCCGTATTTTTTGCGTTCATAGAACAAATCAGTCTTTGAGCTGCCAAGATTGACGATTTTGGGGCAACCGTCTCTCTGCAAGGAAGGTTATGTTTATAAGAATCATATTTGCCTTTGAATTGTTTCCTCACATCTTTTTCTTGTATGGTGCATGACTTGCAGTAGTACGCATCTGATACTCCCGGACCGCCGCATATAACACAGCGTCCCTGATAGGATCCATAGTTGCATTCATCGCAGATTCTCACTAACGTGCAGGGGCGGACATAGGAATCACAAATAACGCATTTCCCGTCGTCCTTTTCACACAAGCGTCCAATGGCTATGGCAAAGTAAAAATTCAGAAAATTTACGATAACACAAAAGTTAAAAGTTACTTACCCACGCCGGGCTGTTTACGACAGAATATCAAGTCAGGATGATGCTTAGCCATAATATATATCTTTTTGTTATAAATCAAGCTACAAAACGTTTAGACAAATGCTAGGGCTGTAAGAAAACATCGATTTTTTTGCCGCCGTCGATGTTTTTATTATGAGTACTCGATTTTTTCCGATATTCACACAAACGCGCTACATCAGCGACCATCGATGCTTATGCAAAAACATCGAATGTTTAACATTTAAAGAATGTGAAATAGTAACCGATAAGATACAAATTGTTGTGAAAAGTAAAACAAAATATGAATGATGCCAAAGTATTAACAATTATAATTATAAAAATTAACATAATACGCTAATTCCTGAAATGCTAAAACCGTTGTCATCATGTACGAGTACATACAAAATAATTATAAAAATTAACATAATACGCTAATTCCTAAAATGCTAAAACCGTTGTCATCATGTACGAGTACATACAAATGTTTATCCCGGTTTTATACCCCCACATACGTACTATGTATGTACATACATACATATGTAATAAAGTACACATTCAGTCGGAAATTTGTACATGCCAGCAATTTGTTATTGTGTTTAGTGAAATGATATACATATGTATGTACATACATATATGTAAATTTATAGACTTTTTTATTGAAAGTGATACAAATATATGTATTTATTTTTTGTGTTCATTCGGCAACATGAAATAACGTTTGGGCGTTATATCCGAACTTACTTTTATTTTTGCAATATAATATTGTCAAATGATTTCTTTCCTGGTCCATTGAATTACCTGATGCAAATTTATGCAATTGAAAATGAGCATAAACAAAAAGTTGTGCGCGAATGGAGCGTTCAGGGCCCGTTAAATTGATTTTTCCAATAAGTTAAGACATAAATCCCACGATCGAAAGTACTACTTCATTCATCATTACCATATCTATTTTTGACTTGATTAGTCTTATTTATCATTTATATGCCCATGTGCCCATGTGACATGTCTGTAGCGTACCACCAAATTATCTGCTATTTTAAATTCACTCATATTTTTCCTTATTATGCAATCTGGCATCATTTCTACACGTAGTTCTTTTACGCAGCATATGGCAATATCTGGCATCAGCTGACTATAGGAAGCCCGCCGAAAAACAGGCCATGCAGCTAACCAGTAAAATTTAAAATTTGTTTGAAATTTTTGTAATATTATTCACCAAATAAGTAGTTAAATAAAGTATATGTTCATAAAGCATATGTTCATATGCTTATAGGATGACAATACAGAAAAATATCCTGTACCCAGGTAAACTTCCGACACTTAGGTATATGCGCCTCTAGCAAAAGCAAAAGGAAGAAGAAGAGTGAACTTGATGCTGAAGCTTGTGGGCGTAGTACCGGAGTGAATTAGGTGTACATACATTTATAATTATTTTACTTCGTTACCACTTTTAGAATCCCTTTCATCACAAGGAATACTATACATAGCCTTAGAACCATACGGAGAAACAGAATTCCCGACTCCAAACTCCTTGCAGATAAGCATCTATCAGAACAAGTTCGTGGATTTTCGGACATTGTCAACCATATAACAATCGATAAAAAATTATATACATAGATTTAAAACAGCCAAATATAGTCGCGGAATAGAATAGTCATATGGGTGGGGTGGATGTAATAGATGATGCTATCGTCTAATTTAATCATTTTTACGAAGCAAAAGATGGCAGGGCGAGCGCATGGATGATACTTTATAAAATGTCAGTATGGAATGAAATTTGTTGCAACCATTGTTATCGTCGGATTTCGTCAGGAAGGTGCCTTAATTTTATGTTAATGGGATTCAAAGGAGTATTTCTTACTTCGCCGAAGCAGAATTTCAAGCATAAAATGTAACCGTGTTTCTCCTGCTGCTGCAGGCCAGGATTAATTGGGTTGATACATATGGACGAAATAAGGTCTCGGTGTTATGACCGAGTCGATCTATGTATGTCTCTCTGTCCGTCCGTATGAGCACCTGGATCTCAGAGACTATAATAGATAGAGATACACATAAGTGTGTACGTTAAACGAGTTTGTTTTATTTTTTTGATTTTCCCCTCACTTCCCCCTATGGGGGTTTGCCCGATATTCCATTCGTATAATCACCTATATCTCGGAGACTATAAGACATAGGAGCACCAAATTTTAGTCCAAGATGCCTTTCTGAATACACAAAATGTGTATATTTTGGGATCTTCCATAACTACCGTAATTCTTGGAATTTGGAACTCAAATAGACTCAGATAGACCGATGTAACAAGAAGTTATGGCCAAGCGCTGCCCGCAGCTGTTGTTGATGTTGCTGTTTGGTTGGCTGCACACATGCTTACACAGACAGGAATAGACGCGCATAAACATACATACACTCACATAGATGCAATTGCTTTGTATATGTGCAATTATACACCCTTTACGTGAGTTTGAATACCGAGAGAGGCAAAATCGATCAAAAATTTATTTTAATTCTTAATATGTACAGAGTATTTCAAAGTCGGGACACCCAACCTTAGCTTTTTTACTTGTTTTTTCTGTATCAGACCCAGAAGGAGGAATGGTAGGTAGGAAGGATGACGAGACGAGTCCAAACCGTAGTGCTCGGCTTCCTGTCTGTCTGTCTCAATCACTTCTGCTTACAAATTTTTAAAGCATGATGAAAATTTACATAGAACAGTTTTTTTTAAACACACAAAGAATTTATCAGATCCGAATCAGATTCCGAAGATGTCAGATAACTTATGATATAGCTTTAGAATAGTTTTTGTATCAAAAGTGTATTTATTTGTAAGATATGGCAACCAATTAGCGTATCGAGCATGTTGTAGTTGATCTGATGGCGTTGCAACACTAGTGGGTCGCGGATGGTGACCATACCATAGATAACCAAAAGCACAATAAATAATATTTTGTAAATTCTTATATAGTATTTACATACTTACAAGTATGTATGTACAGGCGAGTTTATATGCCGTCGCACTACTTTAAGCAACAACATGCTCTCATATCTAAGTTTTAATCCCGCAGCTTAGATTTCAAAGGGTTGATTTTCTCCTTGTTTTCCCCCCAATGCCGTCTCCTGTTATTCCTTTGTTGTTAGAGTAAATAAAAGTCACTTGATGCGATTTTTATGATGTGCGTTAAATGATTACAACACTTGAAATGGTCTCAAATTGTCAGAAAAAGAGCGTTTTTTTTCGTTTTTTGGGCTTTTGTTTTCTTAGCCCATTTTTTTGTATGCTTGGTGTGCGTTTGGGTGTGATTGGATGGGTGCTATCTAAAAGCACTTGCGCCCGTTCCTTACTGAAATTCGGCCCCAACCGGAAGTTTTGGGAATGTGTAAGTTAATTAAATGTATAAACATGCCAGAGAAATAATTCTGATGGTGTGGATTTCACTTTCGCGCCCTTTGATATTCTTTTGTTTGGTGTTTCTTTGATTTTGGATCGTGTTCTCGTAGGCAAGCACTAATTGTCAAATGCATTAGGGGCGGATGAAAAGGGTGCCGGCAACACCTTGGAGTCAATTTTTCAAATTGTGTAAAAAGAAATTGCAAACTCAAACAATTTCCACTAAAACTTATTTTGGCAATACCTCTACTGGCAGCTCTTCAAATGCTACAATTTCTGTATTGTGATTGACAGTTTGTTTGCCTCCATGTCTTGGGGCACACATAATCATTGTCGTCATTTTTATGCTTCCCTAGACATATACTTACATACGTATAGTATATATACTTGTAAACACAAACGCACCCTATTTGCTTTGTGTACAAATATTGAATTGGCGCTTTTTCTAGCTTTTTTCCAGTCAAATATTTGCTGGCACGAGCCCATACTTTTAACTTTTCAATTCAGCTTGGAGTCGTGAGTATATGTACTATACTTATATAAGTAAGTATATCTACTATACTTGTATAAGTATACTTACTTATAAGTAGTATATATAGATATGTATCCTATTTGATATTTTCTTTGTTTCGCCGGTCCCTCTTTCTCGGGCATTTTAAGCTTGTTTGCTTAATTTTCGTATGCGGTTTCGCTGCTCAAAATATTTGATTTCTCTTTGTATGTACTTACTACATACTCGTACATACTACTTATACATATGTATGTATATACTATAGCCTTTCATATTTTCATTGTAATTCAATTGTATTTTCTGTTTTTTGGCTGTTGTTTTATTCGAATGTTTGCTCAAGTCTCGTGTTCACTTGACAGACGACGACAACAAAGACCTCGAAAGGGGTGTGCCTCTGGTTCAAGGATTTCGTTTTGCTCCTGGTTGCTTCATCGTCCGTGACAAGCAGACACCCGCCAATTGAAATTCAAAGCAGAAAATGCACATTCAATCACGCAGAAATCGAACATATGCTTGTTATGTAATTGTGGAGCACTTTTAATTTGCTCGCATAAAACCGCACTAAGGACCTGTGCATGTTGCTGGCAGGAGCGTCTGATGTTGATGCGGGGGCCATAAAGGATCTACATACAAGTAGTACACGACTAAACACAATCTTCTGCAATGAAACTTCATATCTACTTTCTAGAATTAAATTTCAGAGCTGCAGAAGGGTACAACGCAAAACTTAATATTCGTTAGCATTGTCGCGCTCTGTTTATTTGTACAAGTAGTTTGTTATATTTGGGGAGTTAGCCAGCAGCTTGATTAATGATGCCTCGGCGCATTATTATTAAAACGCATTTGAAATTTTCATGAAATTGTTATAAATGGAACAAGTGAGACAATGTAGAGCGAGAAAACACATTTTTCAAATCCTGCCACTTCAAATGGAATCAATTTTGCCAATGCAGCGGCATGGGTCGGCCCAGTAAAATCTATTAAAGAGCTAGAATCTTTTGCAGCCGATCTAAGCGCGCCTTAACGCATGCCCCAAATAATAGCCTCGAGCGATGTAAGGCCGAACGTCCACCCACCCCATTGAATGGGCTTGGGTTATGGCTTTTTGTTTGACCAGTGAAACGACCAGAAGCTGCTGGGCAGCTGAGCTGAGCAGCCAGGCCATTTTGAATATGCCAGAAATTGGATTTGGATGTGGGCTTGGGATTGGGCTTGGGCTTGGCCTGCCTATCGGCATTATTTCGGTTGAAAATTCAAAGTGATTTTCGTTGAGGACATTCCCATTGACCAGTTGAACAAGCGGCCGTCTGCGAATGACTGATAACATTCAAGGAGCAACGCTCTGTGTCGAGTGTTCCAATTATGTGTGAGTGGTGCTCGAGGGTTGTAGAGGGTTAGTTGTAGGATTTTAATAGGTAGCCACCGGGCACTGTGCCTTTTGATGTGTGGCAGCAACTGAAACGTACATATATTAGATTATAGTATTGAAAGGAGGATGGACAGAGGATATAAGCGAGAGTAACTTAAGGGAATCGGTGTAATGTTTGATGTTTTTAGAAGAGTCTAATGCTATTTCCATAAAATTAAAAATATCGAGCTGCTGAACTTTTAATCTAAATATTGCAAATGCAGAGCTGAATGAAGGAGCCAAAATAGAGAAATAATATTTCAGTGCGCCATATGACGTGCCAGTACGTGAGAAACCCTTTTCCATCTTCCCTTCTTTTCTGGCTTTCACATATCGCATTGTTCCAGGGACAATGCCTCTTTGGGCCGGCTTTGGGGTTGGAGACGTGGTGTAGGCTGGCAAAAGGATTTACACGCTTGCTTCCATATACAAATAAGGGCCTCTCTCTCTTTCTCACCCGTCTATGTCAAATCCATTTCGACTGTCGCACGGCAGAGATGAAGTGATTTCTTATCCAACAAATCCACTTCCAAAAAAGGGGTGGCCAGTGTGAGTTCGGATATGTATGCGTGTATGTGTGTGTGCGTGTGTGTGCGGGGAAGGAAGTTTATTAAAAAATTGTGTGTTTGTGTTTGGCGCGTGGCTGGCAAACGGACAAGCCGGGCAAGTCTTTGGCCTTTTCCTGGAATGGGGAAATCAGTTAACTAAATATGAAGTTAAATATTAAATATTTATTTAGGGAGCTACTAACGAGATCCAAGTGCCCCACTTGGACGGCAATTGACAAAACGAACCGTTGTTTAAAGGTTTTAAAATTACTTTTATTGAAATACATATGCATTACGTCTAAATATTAAGATCAATTTACAATTGGACATCGTACAACAATATCTGTATCCTGTATGCATAATAAATGTATTTGTCTATATACTTTTACATACATACTCGTAGTGGTTAGTAATAATGGAGAAACACAAAACAGCTAAGATAAATACTTGGGCAAAATTGAAAAATTCGTACGTCTAGGAACCTAGGAACTCTATGTTGTTGCAGTAGCTGGATGCACTGTTCCAATATACGAGTAGATGCATACCGCCAGAGTGCTCTGGTATGCACAGTTTACACGTGTTAATATAAATTCGTTATAGATTTCTGATACGGCTGGCTATCACCTAAGTTGTGGCTACCATTGGGGCATCAGGATGACCCCACGACTGATATGGAGAATGGAATGCTTGGGAAGATTCGGAGCGCCTACTCTAGGGGACGAGCTAGTTATATGTACACAAACTGTGCGCCATTAGAAACTACTCTGAGGGCCAGTCGCCGCTTCGCTGTAGTACCAACATCATTCGCCCTTGATGGCATAATGAGGAGACAGCGAGCTGATCGAACTTCCGCAGAGGGAGACGGCTTCCAGGAGGGCATTGCCACTAGCGTTGCCATTGGACATGTTCATGTTGAGAGCTTGCGGTGGGTATCCAAAGGCATGACTGCTTAGCGGCGTGCCTGTTGGACTGTCCAGATCCAGCGAAGGATTGATGCGCTTCTCTTTCTGACGTCGATTGCAGAACCACACGCGCACCACCTCCTTGTCCATGTGCAGCTGCTCGGAGAGCTGATTTATCTCGTCCGAGGTGGGCTTGCAGTTAAGCAGAAACGCCTTTTCTAGCGTGGTCCGCACGGTGGTTTCGATGGACGTGCGCTTCTTCCGCCGACGCCCTAGTATGCTCTCTGGTGTCGCCAAACTACTGGTCATGGTGTTGATGTTGAACACGCCGCCCGACTTGGCCACACTTGTGTCTGCATCTTCAAGCCATTTCTGCAGCAATGGTTTCAGCTTGCACATGTTCTTGAAACTAAGATTTAGGGCCTCGAAGCGCGAGATGGTTGTCTGGGAGAAGTCGTTGCCATAGAGCTTGCCCATGGCCAGCCCTACGTCGCCCTGGGTAAAGCCCAGCTTAATGCGGCGCTGCTTGAACGTTTTGGCAAACTGTTCCAGCTCCTCCAGATCGGTAGTTTCTTCGGGCGACTGATCGAGCGTACGTGCTGCGTTGGACATGGCAGCGGCTACGGTGGCGGCTCCGTGGTGCTGTTTGGAGTTCTGTGGAGTGCTCGTTGTTACTCCATAACAATGCGAAGGCAGCATGCTAGGCGTGTTAGGCGTCAGAACGGCGCTGCTCATGCCCGGACCGGGAATGGAAGAGTTGGGAGGCGTCTTCTGCTGCTTGCCATGGCGACCAACTGGACTTAGAGAGGGACTGCGTAGAGGGGATTTGGCCGGAGGCCTCGAGTAGTCTGTGCCTGTGCTCATTTCCTGTTGCTCCTGCTGTTGTTGTGCCTTCATTTGTTGGAGTGCCTGGAACTGCGCCAGCGCTTGCAGGGAGTTCTGGAGCAGAAACTGGGTGGCCATATTTGGATTTTGGAAGGAATCGGGCACCATTTGCCGCACCATTTCGATGTAGCTCTGCAATTGAAGCTGCAAAGCCTGATGCATGTCCTCCGGCCTGAAGCACATCGAATTCTGCATCAAAAACGGTGCCAGCGGAGTTTGTAAGCCACTCAGGAGGTTTGGTGAGACTTGATGGTCGGTAGCAGGCTGCTGCTGATCCTCTACTGGCTCGTCGACTTCTGATGCCGCACGCTTTGGTGTGCTGCGCGCCAGGTTTAACACCTCGTCCTTCAGGTCCGGACTGAGCTCACGCGCACTGCGCTTGTTGCTTAGATTTTGAGGCGCCTCACAGGTCTCGTCCTCCTCCTCCTCCTCGTAGCTCTTGTCGCAGTCTGGAAGTGAAAAGGGGAACAAGAAAATTGCGTTATCTTACGAGTCAGCAAAGGCAAGGCTGTGCAAATAGTTCAACTATTAATAAAAATATTTTGCTTTTCAATTTTCCAACCCAATGAAGTTCAAGTAGCCAGTGCTGCTAACAACACGCTTCGCATAATTTGATTTTAACCCAGTCTCAGCCTCCTTTGTGGCCCCTTGGCTTCCTAAACTGTCTTCACTTTTCAATATTTCTGCCTTTTTAAGGCAAATTTTATTCAATCTTCCAATTGAGTGCACGCCGACTGGCGCTTTTATGTCCTTGGGTTGTTCGTCTTGTGGTTTGCCTGCTGCAATTCCGATAAACGGTCAACTGGAAGGGTTTCCTTTGTGGCCATGTAGATGGCCAATTTTCGCATACAGAGTCGGAAAACTCAATCATGCATAATAATTCACAATACCATTATATACTATAGGCAGATATTTGATGTTTTTGCAGCTGTTGTAATAGAAATGCTATCTTTCCTATTGAGAAATGCGCAGCATCTCAAATTTCAATTTCAAATTGGGCTTTCATAATTGTCCTGAAAATATTGACAGGCTCGCTGCTAAATAATGGAGCTGACAATAGCATTGAGCTTCCGGAAAAGAAACTTAATATAATCGTGCAATAACTAAAGCCTAACTTAACCTTGTGATCGACCAGGTGTCCCATGAACAAAGATAAAAGGTTTAAATGATTCCATTAAATGATACTTTTAACCCGCTTTGCGAGTCAGTGCCGGCCGACCATCTAACCGCCTAATCCTACGGGTGGTGGGCAAGCCATGTGCCAAACTTTTGGATTGGATGCATGTGGGCAGCTGTTTTTATGACTTGTACATGTAAAAAATCGTTTTATATAATTAGCTGAGACATTTGCCGAAAATAAACTAGTGCGAAAACATGCTACATATGCAAGGGTTACCCGGCCCATACATACTATCGTATATACACGTAGCAGTGTGTATTTGCCGATGTTGTATCATTGTAAAATTTTTTAAAACACCCTCGGACGATGCAACCCTTAAACTTGAGGTAGGGGTGTCAAATTTAAACAATTCGTAACAATTGTACGTTGCTTTACATGCAGGGGGTGCGCCCTGCGATTGGCTTGCAAATAACCCCCGTTGCAAAAGGGTTCCTGGTGGCCCATTGCAAATGGCACCGATGCAGGCAGGACGTCTCTGGAACAACGTTGCAACTTGCATTGTTGTGATTGAGTCAAATAGAAGTCAAGAAGCTACATGCGCAACTCTTGCTTCAGGTTTTCCACTCTCATCTTTTCTGTAGCGTTCTCGAGCTCTTTCAGTTCCTTGCAGATCGCAGCTAGAGACTCACTTGCTTTGTTTGTTTTCAACGATTTTACCCATTTTTCCAAACAACACGGTTCCAATGGGCCCCAGACATCGTCCAGGTGCTGCCGGGCCACTCGCTGAGTGTCCCATTATTGTTATTGGTACTGGTTTTGTCTATTAAGGCAGATGTGTTGTCGTATTTCTGGTAGGGCCGCACAATGGAAATGTGTGAACGTTTTACTGACAAATGAAATATTCGCCGTTCAGTTTGTTTCGGGGTTTGTGTGTGTGTGTGTGTGTGTATTTACTTAGGGGATGCTGATCTGAGGGGATACTTTTGGACAAAAGTGCATCTACATACGCGTAGTGCCGTGCGATTGATGGGAATGATATGGTATGCTATTCCGTGCCGACTAATCTAATTATCTGTATTCTAGTCTCTAGTCCAGCAAAAGTTGATCTCAAATACGATGCAATTTAAAAAAAAAAAGTTTAAAAAGATATTGGTTTCAAATTGGATAATGGGAAGGTTGTTCTAGTACCTGACATGGTTCATCAAACGCGTAATAGGTAAGAATAATTCTCGTTTTATAGTATATACCTTCATTTGATGATTCAAACTAGCGCAAAGGCGAGAAATCATATCCTTGTATAGATAGAAATCCGAAGGCGGGTAGACGGATACTATACGAGTATGGGCATAAGGTATTATGAGCCACATTACGTATGAGAATAATATGCTAATATTGACTTGTAACTGCAACTGCAGAGGACTTTCCACGCTCTGTGTAGAATGCGTGTCTGCCTTTCTGCGCCGCTAAAGAAGGTGGCTGCCAAAGCATTTTAAAAAAGCACACAATCAATCAAAACCAATCATTATACGCGTACTATAATGCGCAAAAAGGGGCGGCAGCACCCAATAAACACACATTGTGCCATAATTCCATGTTACCCCAACTACAATTAACATCACGCAACAATAATCCTTGCGTACCCTTTCGCGCGTCAAGGAGGCGTTCGATTTGAATACAAAAAGCCGACGAAGCGCAGTCAACAAGTTGCGTTTCCCATAAGCACCACTTAAAAAACGAGTATCCGTGGCTGTCGGGGTCGTGGCGAACCCTTCACTTAGGCGCACGCTTTCACACCTCAACGCTATTCAAATGATATGTTAAACAGAGTGGCAGGAAGCAACAGTTGATTGGCTGCGGGCAGGGTATTCCTCGTTTTTTGTTAAGGCCTGTGACACAAGAGCAACCCTTTTTGCTGAGTCTGTTGTTGTTGCTGTTGTGACACATTTGAATACTCTCGCATTATGAAGGACGAATATAAACTAGGGCTGTTAGCACCCTAACGGAACAAGGACTTGCTACCTAATTTGTGTAAACCAATAAAAATACAATTTTAATTACAATTATCAGACGCCGTAACCCCAAGACGACCTTATAACGCATTTACATAGTACTTGGCAACCCTGTTAATTTATCCAGCACAAAGGGTGGGTTCCGCTCTCCATGGTTGTGCCCTATGCATGTTTTTGCATAGATTAGTTGCAGTTTGTTATGATCTGGGGAGGGTCGCCCGCTGCAGCATTATATAATTGCTGGCAATCATTTAAATGCGCAGTTCTACCAAAAATTTACATTTGACAAATTGTTGTTTTTGTTTGTGCCCTGGGTTTGAAGTAGGGACCGGGGTCGGGGTCAAAAGTGTGCGATTCGTGTGCCGAGAAGCAGGGACCTTTTGTAGTTAAGCGGGTGGTGGTTGCTATTTGCTTTTCAGAGAACTGCGAGGCATTATTTGGACATTTATCTCTGGGCCTGTCAGAGTGTTTTGACGCTGTGCGCTATCGTGGGTGTAGGCCTGCCTATATGGCGACTACGGAAATGCCCTAAGTCCGGTAAATGAGCTTTTCTCATCTTCAATGATTTAACAATGTCTGTACTTTTCCTAACTTTGAAAAAAAAGCACAAAAATCTTAAATACTTATGCTCTGCAATTAAGAACAATTTTAATATTATTTAAGAAACTTTTGCCTATTTCCCGTATTAGTTCTACCAAGCCGGACCAAAAATTCATTGTACGCACAGAAGATTCTTTTAAATTAATCGCTAATAACTTTTCTTAGAATTCACCGATTCGGATTTGATATATATGATTGATAATAGTGTATAGATGTATAGTAGCTTTTGAAATGTGGACAGTATTGACGTAATTCTGCAGCGGGAACAGGGGGGAAAGCAAAAAATAAAATAATCTAATGTTGCCTATTGACTAGGAGCGTTTACATATCAAGTTTGGTTAATGTGCGCTCAGCTGTTACCGAAATCCAGGCGTTCATCCATACGGATGGAAGGACAGACGAACGGACGACGACTTCGATTTCTCTCGTCAAGCTTATAAAGAAAATAAATACTTTGTGCGGTCGGAGATGCTTCCTTTTGCATGTTATATACTTTGCATAACCCTAATAGACCCCTTTTACCTTATTGGTAAAGGGTTTAAAAATCCTTGTCCTGCTCAGTAAGCAACATGAATGACAAGTTTGCTTATTCTAGATTTTAGATTTTAGCCTTCATGGCTAAGCCACAGGCTAGAACAAACCAGAGCAAGGCCGGAACATTATTATTATTAAGAGCATTTTTAGACAAAAAATTGTTATGTGGTTAAAGCATTTCATCGAAAGCAAGGTGAGCAACACAAATGAAAATGCATTTATTCTCTTTAACAGGAAACAGGAAAGAGGACTGCGTTTGTTCTTTGGTGGCAGAATTCATATCAGACATCTAACAAATTTTTATGTTGCTTTTGGTGTGTACTTTCTTTTAAAACTCACTATGTTATATAATTTCGTGCAACGCCATTTGGTATGTATGGTGATTAAATTTAATTTTCGTGGGTTTCGCGGCATATAAAACCAGAATATGGTGTGTGTTCACGGTCTGAGCTGACATCTATGTTTCTTCCCTATAATTCTTAAAATATGAACTGGCGTGTCTCACTTCGGTCACACTTTCGTCACGTGCGCCTTATGCAGTAAGGAACCTATCAATGCATACAACTATACCTAGCGCAAACGCATCCTTTTGATGTCGGGGGTTGCTGCCAGACAGCAGACAGTATCAATAAATATTTTTCGGCTATAAAAAGAAAAATACTGTGAGCAGCGCGCGTGCACCTAATGTGAGTCTGCCACAAAGTGGCCACAGCTCGGTCCCCGTGCCGAGCGAGGAGACCCTCAAAAATTGAAACATGTTCCCTGAATTGTGGTAAAGGATTAGAGGAAACTGCAGTTTCTTTCTTGCTACATACCTGATAAAGATCGCAGAGGTGACGGCGGGGTCGGTGAGTTTGACATGCGTCGCAAAACTGGAAAGGAGAAGTAGGTGGTGCGGTTAGTTTTGCAATAAAATCACGTATGGCCGCATAATTTTGACAGCTTATATGGCAAAAGCAATTAGGTGTAGATATGCAAAAATCATGCTTGGCCGATTATCGATTATTCAGTAAAAGCCTTCGCAATCGAATGCGTTGCACACTCGAGGGGTTCCAACTGAGGGTAACGCACCCTTAGTTCTATCTTTCTTCCTCCCATCTTTGACCATTTCGAGTGGCCGTTGCTCAAATTTGTTAATGCCGTTGACTATTTATTTATTATACTTCATGTTTTCGCTACTCAGCAGTCGCAAGCTGTAAACTTTAATGCAAATGGCACGTTTTCCTCCGCTCTGTCAATTTGTTGCAGACAGCGGGCAATGACAACGCCCAGTTGCATGTGGCGTTGTGGTCCGTGCCTCGGTTTGTGGTGAGTGGCTCTGACACATTTGGGCAGAGTCTGCCTGCCTCAAAGGCAGGCAGTGTCTGTCCATCTGCCCATATGCCAATCTGTCCACTTGGCTCGTAAAATGTCCATTAGTATTTACGGTTTTTATAGCGCAACATGCAAAGTTTTCTGGCCATGCTACGATAGTCGTAGCACTCGGATAAGACTTTTCTCACTTTAATACTTTGTATGGTGAACGCTGTCATGCAAATCCGCATACATCCACATACACAATCCTATTGCCAAATTTCAATAGGACCGAGAGTGGCAAACAATCCATTCCCCTAAACGTTATCCTGGTCCACTCACAGAGCATACCCATGCTTAGCCACTTTTTATGCCATTTGCCTTTCCTTTTTTTTGGTTTGCAAAGTAGATATTAAATTTATAGCTCCCCCGGGGCGTAAACAAAGTAGTGTCCTCTGCTCAGCATTTGCCACAATGAAGAGGGACACAAGAGTAACAAAAAAGTAACATATTTTTACGACAATATATGTACGCTGCATGTTCTCGCCCGAATCCTTGTGCATAATGTCCAGGCACTGGCCATCCGTATTACAAATATACAGATTACGCCAAAAGTCAAACTCACGCCATTGGACAGTGTGTTGATATAATGGGGGATATGTGTGTAGATGCTACTAAAAAAATTACTTTGCTTTTGTTTGCAATGTGAGGGGGCTTATACATACATATATTCGAATTGCCAGGGGAGTCCTAGTAGCGGTTTTCATTCAGCGATTACACTACGTGCAAAGGAATGGATTTGCTCGTCCTTGATTTTCAAAAGTCAACTAATCTGCATGCAGCACAGTGAGAAGTTCGGCCGAAGGGGAATTCAATAGGGTCATGAAAAGCAATTTATAAGGCAATGCCAACACCGCATTTCCGTGTACTTTCTTCGGCTTAAGTGTAATTACAGAAAATTTGGCTATTGTGGTTAGCTACAAAATATAGAATTTGTTTATGGTCAAAAAGATCTAACAGAAGAAATTTATAAAAGATGCACGACCTTCCAGCAGTTTTTAAGGGAAAAGGTAAGGCCTTTTTTGGTTGTTTTTTATGTGACTGCAAAATAACTGGGACAGGTAGCAGGAAAAGAGCAAGAACTGTGTGTGACTGCTGCAGGATGTGTGCCGAATAAACAAAGTATGATCACACGCTCAGTGGGTCGTCGGCCCTAACAGCTGCCGCCAAGGCCCAGGCATCGTATGCAAATCTGCAGGAGGCGGCCACACCGCATTATGCAGATAATGGACAATCACAACCCGGCATTGGCGTAGCAAATGTCCTGAAATTAGAATTGTCTCGACCCTGACACTGACGTGTGGGCGTGCTCATTGTAATCATCGGTATTGGTAGTTGCGGAATGGTAATAAAATGTATTGTCATTATTGGCATGAAAGTGAAAGTTGATACACAACTAAAATTGTCCACTCTAACCTACAAATGCATGCCTGCATAAGAACTACATATACATACATATGTATGTACATATGTATGTATGTATGTATGTACGCGCGAAGGAGTGCTATTTTTTACGACGTTTTAGAATTCTATTCCGAAAATGAAATACTTTGATATTGCTTTGAAAATAAGTGAATTAAATTTTTCATTTTGAAATTTCATTTCACAAAGTTGTAACTTACATACATACATATGTATATATTTTATGATTATAAAAGTTGCGCAAGTATGTACATATGTATGTATGTATGTAAATAGTGCCACCATTAATTCAATTTCAATTGTGACACCCTGGTAAGTACGTAAAAAAGTTGGCAACTCTATTATTAATTTGACATAACACAAATGATGAACTGCCTTCAGAAATACATATGTATGTATGTACATATGTACGTATGTACATATGCATGTATGCAAATTAATTTAAGACGTACAATGTGCTGAATCCTTGGGCTCCTCTCGTTCCCGCTTCACACACGCATCCTTGCTGTCCAGTAGATTCGTAGGCGGTTTACTGGCGGCTTTTGTTGAGTGCACTTGCACCGCAGCCGCTGCCGAAGCGGCTATTGAATTATTCCCCGTTTCCCAGAGTCTTTGTTGTTGTTGCTGTAGCACCATCATCTTTGCAAACAAAAATCGCCTTAGCACACACACGCACCAGCTGATTCGCAATGTTAATTAACTATTTAATATTTATAAAATATGCAAATAGTAATTTATTTATTTCAATTTGCGTTGATCACTGCTTCGTACTAAGAGTTGCAAGTCACGACGCAAAAATTCGAATTCGTTTCTATCGCACTTTCTCAACCCGACTGACGACCGTCTCGTCGTATGCGCTTGCCATATGCAACTAAAACACTCATTTTTTTGTCGCTTGCTGCTTGCCGTTGCTCGCACAGCCATGCAGCCAGCGCCGTTATGTGCATGCGATTGCGTGTGTGTGTGTGTGCGCTGAGTATGTGAGACACACCGACATGGTTTATGCAGGAGTTTTTCCTTGTTTTTTGTTGTTGTACTTTTCCACTGATTCTGTGTGCATGTGTGAGTGCGCTCGGTATTGTGGCGTTTCGTATTGCCCTTCGCAGGGTTTTGCATTCGCTGTGCATGTGTGTGTGTGTGAGTGTGTGCATTGGTATAAAAGGAAATTCATTTTCCTTATTTTACTACTGCGACATTGTTTGGCCTCTGCTCGCTCACTCTCCCGTCTCACTCAAGCAAAACTCACTCACACTCGGGAGCACGCTTACGACACGCACACTGTGGCAAACAACCCCGCACCGTTTGTCGTTTACTTTGTGGAACGTATTTCTGTCGTTGGCTGCATTCTAATCAGACTTTTTATATACACGGCTTTTTGTTGTTGTTGTCCATTACCCCTGAGCAATACTCACATTAGCATACGTAGCGGGTTTAGTGGCTTTACTTGAGTGAAATGGGTGTGGTCTATGCACTTTTACATACATACCTACAATATGTGTTGACGTGCACTGCTTTATTGCCAATAAAGTCTATGCAGTTTTTCTCAGATATATACTATACCCAATTTCCCCAGCTGAATCATAATTAAGTGGTGTGGGGATAACAGCAAAGTTGCAACTTATAAGATAATAAGGACCTATGAACAATTTGAAGTGAAAGTGAACTCAAGCAGCTTACATTTCTAAATTCGTACTAACATCAGGCGAACATTAAAAATGAGTGCATACATATACCCATTTACAAGTTTTTTCAAATTTTAATTTTTGGGTGATTTTGAATACCAAGTCTACCTCATAAATCCAGACATCCCTGCATTCTTACAGAAAGGCAGACGGACGGAGGAGGGTAAAAGTGGGACGGATAGACGAATATGGCTAGATTTACTTGTATAAGTAGATTCGGATCAATATATTGATCAAGCATTTGTACATACGTAGATCTTTCTAGGGTGTGCTTTTGAACATATCATTTGCATATACGTTTGTAAATAAATAACAACAAAGTTTTTGGCATAAATTTAAAAGTGATTTTTTACAAAAAGGATACAAAAGTATATACTATAGTAGTTGCTATGGAACTAAAGATTATAGTGAGGATGATAGCTTATGAAAGCTATGTAAAATAGAGACCTGCTGAATAGAGAATTGCTAAATAGAGAATTGAGAATTGTCACATATGTGTGTACACATATATGTACATATGTTTAGAGTTTATAGTACACCGTTTAAATGTGCTCAATTTCTTTTAGATATCTTAATAAATGAGAGTGTGGTTTTCATATTGGTTCTATAGCAGCAATCAAAAAGATTGGACATCTCTACACACTAAGTTTGGTGTCTCTAGATGTTTTGGATCAAAAATTCTCGGTGTTAGTAAGGACCATCAGATTTTTGACAGTACACGTATATACTTAGTTTTGCGCCACTGTAAGGAAAGCGCATACTACTATATACCAACGATTGACGCCCATAACGACGAGCATTTTGGTGTGATTATACTCACGTATATAAGCAGAAAAACACATTCATACAAGAATCAAGGCGGTCATTGGACTGAAAGTTGGGTGTAATTATAACAAGTGTTGCTGTTGATATGCTTGTTGTTGCTGTTGCTGTGTGGTGCAGATATGGTAGGATGTTGGTAGTTGGTGAGACGTTTCCCTGTGTACTTGACTTGAAGGTGGGCGAAGGTGTGTGAGTGTGTGTGTGCTTGACTATGTATATCTATATACTTGTACTCTTTGCATGGACGGACGTGTGGGGAAGTCCCCGAACTGGGCCTGCCCCACAAGGTCCTGAACAGTGCAGTTCGGTGACAGCGCATTTTATGATTATGAGTGCACGGGCTGGTCGAGCTGCTATTGTTTTTTGCCTTCCACAGAACTTTGTAGAAAGGAGGAACTGAGAAATGTAAAGGTTTGGGCGTTGGCGTGGCTTTGTATGTGTGTATGTGTGGGGGTTGGGGTTGGGGTTGGGGTGTTGGTGGCACGAAACATTTTAATTAAAACTGCAAAATTAATGTTTGTTTTGTGCTCCTTTCTGCGGAAGCTTAACGCTTGCAGAGAACCGCATTAAAGTCTTGCAATGATTTAAGGGCGCAGCAGTGAAAATCAATAGCCAAATACTACCCCAAAAAACAAATGCAAACTAATTTCAATAGTTATCCTTTTGACTTCGTCCTGTCTACTTGTCAGAGCGCCACCGTTCGCAGTCTGATTAAACTTGTCACTGGGAAACAAAAGATAAACAGCCTCGGTCGACAGTGTCTATGCAATTTGATTATTTGCCAAAAACAGACCACGCAGGACAACGACAAGGCTCTAAGCACAGACAGATACTCGTAGACTGGCAGATGGACTAAACATACGCACACGCAGATGGCCGGACGGCTGTAAATGTAAATACGACTGGCAACAGAAAAGTTTTTGTTGAAATTAATCAAGAAACTAAACGCTTGGCAGGACCAAACCGAAGGGGCGCACTTTGCATGACGAACCGTGGGCAAGCACGCAGGCTGGCAGGCAGGCAGTTAGATTTGGGGGAGGCTGTTCCTGCGGCTGAGGTTACGGGATAGCCAGAATACAGAACAATGCTCAGTTGTTGTGGGTGAAATTTGCTCGTCTTTGTTGATGTAGAGAATTAAAATGACATACCAATTTTCGTTAAGCAAATAAGACAAGGCTTGTAAGTTCCGTGCAAGGGGAGAATCAAGGATGTGAAGCTTTAATGGGTAACTACGTTTCGGTGGAAAGATTTATGGCAACATGGATAGTTGTAGTCATTTTGAATAGCATTTTAAGCATGTGTTTAATTGTGACTAATGCTTGACTCACTGAAAACTCGCGCCAAAACTACGAACCATAAGGAATCGTAACGGAAATCAATGCCAAATGACAATGTGACCGGTTTCTTCCTTTACTTCCGCATTTGATGCTGGGTCCCCCTATTACCTACTACTACCCTACTACCTACACACTCATTTCTCAACGCTTACCGAATTCGACTTTCTTTGATATCTGCCACAAAAAATCGCTGCCTATCGCAACCCTTCGCATCAACGCGAAAAAGATGCATTTTCTACAGATTTTGTTTTCCGTAAAAAACATAAGAAAAGAGCGCGCTCAATTTTTGGGCAAGAAAACTATCAAAAGGAAACTGAAAAATTAAGGGTAGAAATTGAGGATCACTGTCAAAGATTACCCGGGATCTTCCACAGCTTAGCTGTAGGGTAAACACACTTGTACAGTAGCAACCCCATAGGTCCTGCCGCATACATTTTTCCTTTATTTTTTCTTACCTACGCACAATTTTCGGCACTTTGGGGTAAATGCACGGTAATAGTGCGCAATTTTTGTAGGGAAAAAATGTGCGTTGTATTAAAAGTAAAAAAGGTAAAAAGGAAATTTTTTTCAGACATTAAGAATTGGAAATTAATTTTTTTTTGGGTGTTTTTTGTACGATATTGTAGCTGCGTTTCGGGATAACAAAGGAAATGCCGTTGCGGTTATTGGGTGCCGTTGATTTAGTACTGATGGGCAAGGCTTTGACAGGGCCGTTCGTCAGCTAACGGAATTTTTGGCAAATTTTCTCACAAGTAGTTAGCGATCGTTTGAACAGATTTTGCTTATTTTTTACAAAGGGGTGTTTCCCATGCTTGGAGCCAACATACGCCATTTTTTAAAATAGCACAGCAGCTACCCCTTCCTTGCACTGATTTATGCAAATCTAACCCTAACGGCATCTTTGCCGCCATTATGTTGAGTATAAAACCCTCGCCCGCCATTCCAAAATTCGAGTTCAACAGGTCGAAGTTTGTGTTTGGATTTATGGATTTTGCTTTACAACTTGTAAAGCGTCTTTATTGGATTTGCTGCCAACCACTGCCAGCAGACTCGCCCTTATACCACCCCCTGGGCTCAATTGGCCATAAGTCGCTGTCAGGGCGCAGTTGGTAGTGACACCGGTTGCCAGTAAGCTTTTTTCTTTCTTTTTTTTTGTTATTCAAAAGGGACTTTTCTTTGCGTTTTTAAATAAATGGCGAGGGTGTGTTTTTACGTCGACATGTCAGAGGTTACCTCATGCAATTGTGGTTCCAATACTTTTGTATTGTGCCGCAGGGCTGCTAACGCCAGCAAGCCGCAATACCCCTGCCCCCAAGAAACATGCTTACATCCACAGTCACATAAAGTGGTTTTAAATTCCATTAAATAAAGTTGTAAAGGTTATTCCCCGCACTTGAGAATTTTCACGCATATTTTGTTCGCACTTTTGTAAAATTTATTAATATTTTAGTGATTTCAAATGGAGTTTGTGTATTCGCTGGTTGTGTAGTTGGAAGGGCGGTTTCTATGGGTGGCTTAATATTTTGGGTGGCTCAGCTTTGTACTGAATGTATTTTGTGAAATTCTATCCTGGAAATTTCAGCTGAAAGCAGTACTTCAATTTGTTGAATAAATACATCTTGGCCAAAAACAAAAAATGCCAAAAGGCAGTATTCACCTTGATAGGGTCGGATAATTCTAGTTTCAGATTTATTTTAATTTCTTTTTTAAGTTAAAAATGTATAGCTGTTATACAATACACCTACCCCTTGCTTAACACAGGAGTTGCGTACAAAATATGTGATTACGTTCCTAGGTTAAATTTGCCCCGGTTTTAAGG